AAGTACAACTTCGGAAACGACGTCAACTACAACATCATCATCAAGTTCTAGTACAAGTACAACGTCAGAAACAACTACAACTACAACTTCAGAGACAACTTCAACTACAACAGAAACAACATCAACATGTAAGTCATAGATTCGTTTTAATGTTCTTATTTTCTTTCTATTAAATTAAATTCAAAGGCACTGAGTAAACGTAATAAGGTTTCTATGTCGAGCAAAACCTACTTTATTTATAACTGGTAGACTATAATGAAATAGAGAAATAAATAAATAAAAAAAAAGAATCACTATTAAAACTGAGAAAATATAATTAAGAAATTCCTTCTTTGAATTTATCATAATCTGTTATTTTTTGTTTCTTTTAAAAATATTTTTCATCTTATTGAATAACAAATATATGTATGAAAAAAAAAAACATTCAATAATTCATACGAAAACTAAAACAAATCCTTCATGAAATAATCTATGTTGTATTTAATATAGCTGCTATTACATTGACAACAGATACAACTACGACAAGTACTGCTACAACTACTACATCAACGACTTCAACATCAACGACAACAACAACATTACCAACGTGTAATTCTGCATGTGGTAATGATACAACCATTTTAAGTGTGTCTCTCTTTGCACGATGGAACTTTGAAAATGTATTCGATGATTTAATGTTAACCTATAATGGAACATCTACTAATGGACCAACATTTGTATTAGGTTATATAGGTCAAGCTCTTTCTCTTAACTCAGCATCGAATCAATACTTGTCAACTTCATTTATTCCAATAAATTCCAAAAGTTTTACTGTAGATGCATGGATATATCCTACTAGTTTTCCAAATACGAAAGGTATTCATACAATAGCTGGTCTTTGTCCACAACAAACAGCACAACAATGTTTTCAATTTGGTCTTCGTTCCAATGTAACTAGTACAACATCAACAGGATATTTTGGTCTATGGGAAGCTGCTGATCTTCGAGGATCAATGTCTATACCTGTTAATCAATGGACACATGTTGCAATTGTTTATTCAAAAAGTAAAACAAAACAAGTTATTTATGTTAATGGAAATTTAGATAATTCACGAGGAACTTCAAATGGTTTTAATGGAACATCTGGAACATTTTATATTGGAAATAATTATGATCTTACATCAAATCCTTCTTATGGAACAAATAATTTTCAGGTACAATATATACATTTTAGTGCGCATAATTCTACTAAATACATTGAAAATTAATTTCATTGTCATTTCTTAAAGGGTTATATTGATCAATTAACAGTAAGCAATGGAGTAAGATCAACATGTGAAGTTCTCAATGTTGCTACAATGGCCTGTCGATTATCGTTCGATGATAGTACAAATTTTCTTGCTGATTCTGGTCCAAATGGTGTTTCAATAAATGCATACAATTATATATCAGTCAGTGGATTAAAAGGAACTCAAGCTATATCATTTACTACTTCATCATCATCCTATCTTCAAGCAACAGGTTTTCGCTTTCTTTCATACAATAATGTACCTTTTTCTATATCTCTTTGGATTCAACCAATACTCTTACAAGGAACTCTTGTTGGTTCATCATTAGGTTATGATCCATTGACATTTGCATCGAATGGATCTCTTATTGCTCGTGTAGCTACAGTATCAGTTTCATATAATATTCTTCTAGAATTGACACCCATATGGTCTCATATAGTTCTTACATGGTCATCATCAGGTGGTCTTAACTTGTATATTAATAATATTCCTGTTAAAAGTGCATTACCTTCAACATCAACTGGAAGTGGAGCATCAACAAATAATTTTATCTTAGGCGGTGGATCTTTTTCAGGAACAATTGATGAATGGCGTCTTTATTCTAGAGAATTACCTTCCAGTGATATATGCGCGATATTTACAAATTAATTTATTTTTCGTTGATATTTGTTTCAACTGATCAAAAATTTTACTTGTTAATATCATTTAATTCATTTACCATCTGACAATCTTTGTTCTATTCATATTATTTGTTCCAATGTACCGATTTTTTTGTTTATTTTGTGTTAGATATGATAAATAAAAGTCTAAACTATGATATTTATCGAAACACGGATACATTAATATGATTGTGATATATATGAAAACGATTGCCTCTTTAAAAAGTTCGCATACAGAGACGAGAAAAACATCAATAAACATTAAGTTAAAGTCAATAGGGAAAAAGCTAACAAATCATGCATTCACACATGTTCAATGAATTCTCTGCAAATGTTCTATAACGTATAAGTAAATCAATATATACTTCTCTATTGCAAATATATATGAGTATTTCATAATCATCGAACGAGACACTAGTGTCATCTATATCTGTTTTAAATTGAAAGAATTTTAGATTTTAGTAATAGGAATATTTTTTTAGAGAAATTTATTAACTCAAATAAATCTAAAACTTATTCAAAAAAATTTCGAGAATATTCTTGTTTATATTTATGTAAAAAGTCATAATAGTCCTTTTGATTCGTGGATTTATTCAACAAATAGGAAAAAAGCGCTGAACTATATCTTTGTCTGATTATACTTGTGACTATATTCTATTCATAGTCAATCATTGAAATATTTAGTTTTGAAATAGTACGAGAAAATCTTGATAAATCTCATACGAGTTTTTTTATCAAGATAAATAATTCTTTATTCTTCTTCTAAATTATTTGTTTTTGTATATATATAATGTAAGTATTGAGATTTAAATAAAGGAAATTTCCAAACAAAAATTTCTTTAGGAAACGACATCACGAAGATAATCTTTATTCATCAACCGATAGTGGTGGTGGTAATGTTACAACACATTCTGTACCAAAACGAATGGCAACAAGATCGAATGCTCAATCAAAGTATAATTTAAAAATATTAAAAATAAATTTAATTAAATAAATTAATTTTAGTTCGACAAATAATTTACCAGTACCTGGAAATTATTCTCCTCCAAGTTCGAATGAATCTGATTCATCATCGTCAATAAATTCAATATCATCATCAAATTCGATTCATTCTCAATTATGTACATGTCCGAATCTCGATTGTGTTATTCATGATCGTCGACATCCAATTAATGTTCCTCTTGAATTAACAACAAGTTTAAATCCAACTTATGCAAATAATAATCTTTTACTTTATTATGCACATCTAGAACGATGTAGACGATACGGACAAAATATTCATCAACATACATCTTCATCTTAAATTTTATTTTTTTTCTTTTTCTTTTTTTTTTGTTCTTTTCTGTATTAGCGCATGCTAAACAAAAAACTACATATATATATACATAGAACTACTTATGAACAAAATCGAGATTCTTTTTAAAAATTATAGATATTTAATATGACAACACCTACGACACCTTTTGCAACACCTGGTGATCCATTTGCCAATGATGATGGAGTATTTACTGGACGAAAATTAGATACAATATGTTTATTTGATGTTGATGGAACAATAGCTTTGGCAAGACAAGTAATTACATACTGAATATATCAAAAATTCATTATCATTTAAGAATTTCATTTATCTCTTGTATTAATCGAACGATATTATTTTATTTTATAGCTTTTTTTCATATGCCTTAAATTTATAAATACTAATCAAAAGTATTACCTTTTCCAATCCATCTGTTAATGAAATTCTTAAGTCATAATGATTTTTGTGATACTTTGTAGAACGATTTTTTTGTAAAAACAAAATTCTTCTTCTAGTTAATAACACCAGAAATGGATGCATATCTTCAAGAAATTCGAAAAAAATGTCTCATTGGTCTTGTTGGAGGATCTGATATTGTTAAAATTGCTGAACAAATTGGTGGAACTAAAGGTTTAATATATAATTTAAAATTTTCTTCTCAAAAACATTATTTTTCTTAGCAATAGCTAAATACGATTATGTTTTTGCTGAAAATGGTCTTGTAGCTTATAAAAATGGCCAACTTTTCTTCGAAGAAGTTTGTTTAAAAAAAAACAAAATATTTGTTTTCTATAATTATTTTATTTCAATAGAATATTCAAAAACACATTGGTGAAGATAATTTACAAACATTCATTAATTATTGTTTAAAATATTTATCAGAAATTCAATTACCATTTAAACGGTTCGTTATTATTTGTTTTTAAGAAATAAAATATTTGACCAAAATTCTTTTTTTAGTGGAACATTTATTGAATTTCGTAATGGCCTTATCAATGTATCACCTGTCGGTCGAAATTGTACACTGGAAGAACGACATCTGTTTCATGCATATGATGCAGTAAAATATTTGTTTTATATTTTATTTTAAAAATTTATATTGAAATTAATTCTTCAAGGAACATCAAATTCGTTCAACAATGGTTAAACATCTTCAAGAAAAATTCCCTCATTTGGGTTTAGTTTTTGCAATTGGTTTGATATTAAAAATTATTTTACAAAAAAAGAATTTATTATATTTTAGGTGGTGAAATTAGTTTTGATGCCTTTCCTGAAGGATGGGATAAACGATATGCTTTAAAACATTTAGAAAAAGACAATATTAGCAACATTTATTTTTTTGGTGATAAAACATTTAAGGTAAGTTCTATTTTATAGTTTCCTTTTCATGAAAAATATTAAGACTAAATTGAACAGATTTTGAAAAAGATTTTCTTAATAATTAATCTAATTTGTATGAATATAAGTTAAAAAACGACTTGTTATATCTAGGGTGGCAATGATTATGAGATATATACTGATCCACGAACGAAAGGTTATTCCGTGACAAGTCCGGTGGACACACGTGCTCAATTATGTGAATTATTCGCTCCGTAAGAGTTGTTAAATCAACTATTATTTTTTTTTCTTCGGTGATAATTTTTAGCTTCATATTTTATTTCTTTATTTTATTCATCTATTTATGATCTTAAAAAAAAGAAAATTTATTAACATTTTATCGTGTTTAGCGCACTTTTAACGACTTAAAATTAAAAATAAAAAAAAACTTTCCATATTTATTTCTGTTTTCTTTTACGTTTATGTTGAAATTTTTGTTGTTGTTGTTGTTTAAGTATACAAGTTGATCTTCCACGATGTCCAACACGTTTTTTAGTTTCTTCATCAACTGTTTTCAGTTGCGTATCTTGTAATATACCTCCTATTGGTATAGTTCGTTGAATATGTTGAAGATACCATTCAGGTATAAAATTCGCATGTCTTTGATTTGATCTTTTAATTTGTGTATATCGAAATGGAACACATTGTGGTAAATCAACATCAACAGGTTTTCCTGTCAGTGGATCAATTTCTAATGGTTGAGGAATATAAGCAAATGCATGAATTGTATTTGGATCATCAATATTAACTGTTTGTTGAATTAAATTAAGAAATGAATAAAGATATGAAAGACAATATTTAAGATTAAGATCATAACGAGAAAGAAATTTTGAAATAAGTTTTTGAATTGTAAATAAATCTAAATGATCAATATTTCCAATATTTGATGTTTTATATCCAATCATAAGTGTATTTGTATTAGCTAACCACATTTGTGCCCACCAATGAAGTGTTTGTAATTTATTTTCATCGCGATAAAATATTTTTTTATTTGTACATTTCATTTCAACATAACCAGCTTTGATTTCATTTTCATCTCGTCGTTTTCTTTCATTTTCATTGATTTGTGTTACTTTCGATTCACCTTTAATTGGTTTATCAGTTTCATTTTCATCACTCGTTATTAATTGAAGGTTTTCATTGATTTGGGCTACTTTCCATTCATCTTCAATGGGTTGATCCATTTCATTTTCATCACTTATTGTTAATTCAAGATTTTCATTGATTTGCGCGACTTTCCATTCATCTTCAATTGGTTTATCCATTTCATTTTCATCAAGTGTTGTTAACTCATTCCATCCGGTGAGATCTACCGGTGCGCTCCACCAATCTTGAACAACATCGGATGGGATCGAATGTGTTGATTCAAGATTTTCATCCATTTCGACAGTTTTACTTCTAAATAGAAAAATAGATTAAATTGTTTTTGTTTAATTAACTTACTCAGCTTCTTCTGTTGATGTTACGTTAGTTACATTATCTTCCTAAAAAAAATAATTTCATATATAAGAAGTAGAATAAAGAAAAAGTAATAATACAAACTTGTTTCGTTAGATCAATTGTTTCTGTTTTCGGTATCATATCATTTGTAATTTCTCCATCAATTTCATTCGAATAAAGTATATTAAATTCTCCGAATTGCCAATAATGTACATTATGAAATTGTTCTTGTGGTTTTTTAATAGGAATTTCTTCTTGAAATCTAGTTGAATTTGGTTGTTTTGTTGTAAATAATTCTTCAAATTTATATCCACTATATTCATCTTCTGTCATATTTTCGACATGTCTCGTTGCTTTATTTGCAAGTGCTAAATGAAATTGTCCTTTAATTCTAACAACAAGTAATTTCCATGGTTCACTATCACAATAAAGATTTGCTAAAATTGTTCGTAAAACTAATCGACGACAAATAAATGTTGGAGGTTTTAACATATTTGGTTTTGTTGAAGAAAACAGATGTTGTTTTTGAGTATACCAATGAAGTAAAGGACGAAGATCAGTTCCATCATGTGGACGAAAATAATTTTCCGGATTTAATCGTGCTTGTTCTTTAAATTCTTCATAACCTCGATAAACATTATATGAACATTGATCTCGTTTTTTTGGAATATGTACATAACGTTTAAATGATTTATCTAAATAATAAATCGGTTGATGAAGTGAAGCATCATATGATATATAACCAATTTCACGACGAAGACGTGACCATGTTTTAGGTGGTTCACGTTCATAATCTAATCGAAATAAACAAGGACCTAAATTACTTGGTGAACAATCACTTGTTGTGATATCATAGGATTGAGGAAGATCATCTTCTAATAAGATTTCACAATTTGTTAAATCTAAAAAAAATAAAAATATTATTTTATAAAAACTAAATAATTAATTAACCTCGATAGATTTGTTGTTGATCAAAATCATTTTGTATATACTGTTCTCCAATCGCAATTTGTTCATTTCCTTTAAATAATAAATTTAAACCTTGTGGTGAATCTAATTGATCTTTATCATCAACTTTTATTGACATATGTTTACAACGAGATCGACGAAAAGCTCGTGCACTAATTTCATCACTATCGATAAGTATTTGTTGATATGAAATTGGTTGAACATCTTCAGGTGAATAAAGATAATTAATAATTTCTTCGGGTGAAAGATTTTGTACAAGAATTTTAAAATCATGTAAAGACCATTGATTTAATAAATTCTTTTCATCATATCCAAAATTTTGTTTTATTTGAATTAAATCAATAATTGTTAATAATTGTTGTTTAATATCATTTGATGAATAACTTATTGTTTGTTTAAATGATAAATCAATTATAGAAAATAATTGTTGTTTATTATTATCTTCATCGATGGATAATTTTAAATTAAATTTATCAGGAATTGATAATTGTTCAATGAGATTATTAGGTAAACTAAGTAAATAAGAAACAATTAAATTTTCTTTTAATAAATCAAGTGACCATCGAAGAGCTTTTAAACTATTTGAATCAAGTTGATTTTTTATTTGTGTTAATGGTGAATATTCTTCGGAGATTTTTTCATCAGGTAATGAAAGTGTATATTGTGATATTCCTTCTATCCAATGAAGAATTATTGGTGGTTGAGGAAGACTTAATATTGAATCTTTTGATGGAATATTTGTATCAATTGTTGTTAATCGAAGATCTTCAGAATTATCTGGAAATATATTCAATTGTTCATTATCAGATTGAATTGCAAATTTCATCTATAGAAGAAAAAAGAGTAAAAATAGAATTAAAATATATTTGTTTACTTTATTTAAAAATTCATCTCCTTGAATAAAACTTTGTTTTTGATCATTATTATTATTATCTAAATCATGTTTATATTGTTGATTATCATGATCAATAAGATTAAATTGAATTGTTTTATGATTTTTATCATATAGAGACCATTGTTGTTGTTTATCTTGAATTGAATGAATATTTAATGAAATCTTGTTTTGTTGTTGATCATGTGTCCATTTTATTTGTTGATCATTTAATTCAATATTATTTTTCCATAATTCTTGTTGATTATTATCAATATCATAAACAGATTCTTGATTAAAATCATCAATGATTGAAATTTGTTGATTATTTTCTTCATATTCTTCATTATCAAATTGATGAGATTTTTCCAAACCATCTGTTGTATCACTTGTCCAAATAAAATGACTTTGTAAATCTTTTTCAATTAATGCTTGGGCTTCTTCATCATCAGCATCAATTAAATTATTATTTGCATTTTTACGACGAAATCTTGGTACTAATCTTTTTTCTTTACGATGAAATTCTGATTGCATTTTATATATGTAACTTACGAGGTTTTTTTCTTTCACAAAGTGACAGAACAAAACACGTGTGCATATATCTTATATTGCAATGTAATTGCACAAACTAATGCAAGAAATATAAATACTGAATCTTTTGGATTACATGTTTTTGTTTTTTGTTTCAGATAAAAAAATGTCACTTGCTGATGAACTTCTTGCTGATCTTGAATATATGGATGGAGGTCAAGGACCTTCAGGTGATTCAAAAGAAGAATCAATGGAAACTGAACAAGTTTCGTCTGCAATGAATTTTTTACCAAATAAAAATAGTGTTCATGCAGTTGCAAAATTAAAAGATTCAATATTATTACAAGAAACAATGAAAAAAATCGAATTTCATACAAAACATCAACGAAAATCAACAATGGAAATTCAAGGTCCTGTTGAACATGATCCTGAATATTTACTTATTGTTGATGCAAATAATTTACTTGTTGAAATTGATAATGAAATTGATATTATTCATAATTTTGTTCGAGGACTTTATCGAAAAAGATTTCCTGAATTAGAACAACTTGTTCAATTACCATTAGATTATCTTAAAACTGTTCAAGTAAATTAGATTTCCTTCTTTTTATTTAAATCAATATTCTTTTCTTTTCTTTCGTTTAGGAATTAGGAAATAAAGTTGATCAAGCGAAAGCAAATGAAAATTTACTTAAATTTTTAACACAAGCAACAATTATGATTGTTAGTGTATCAGCTTCAACTACTCAAGGGTATGTTTATCTATTTTGTTTACTTGTTTATTGATTTTTTTTTTTTCTTTTAGACAAAATTTAACTGATGAAGAATTAGAACGTGTTATGGAAGCATGTGATATTGTTAGTATTTTAGCTTTCTTTATGAAAATATTTTACAAAAACAAATTTGTTTTTTATTTTTAGGCAAGGAAATTAAGTGAAAATAAACAAACAATATTATCTTATGTTGAATCTCGAATGACATTTATTGCACCAAATTTATCAATTATTGTTGGTGCATCAACTGCAGCTAAATTAATGGGTATGGCTGGTGGTTTAACAAATTTAACAAAAATGCCTTCATGTAATATTCTATTATTGGGTGCACATAAGAAACTTCTGGGTGGATTTTCAACAACAGCAGCTATGCCTCATGCAGGAGCGATTTTTTATTCAAAAATTGTTCAAGATTGTCCACCGGTTAGTTATTTATACTTTTCTAAAATATTTTCATAGATTTTAAATTTCAACTTGAATATTTATTTTAGGATCTTCGAGTAAAAGTCGCACGTTTAGTTTCTTGTAAAGTAACATTAGCTGCACGTGTTGATAGTTTTCATGAAAGTCCTCAAGGTCAACAAGGAAAAATTTTATTAAGTGATATTGAACGACGTATAGAAAAATTAGAAGAACCACCACCAGTTAAAGCAGTGAAACCATTACCACCACCCATTGATCCTGGAAGAAAGAAACGTGGTGGACGAAGACATAGAAAAATGAAAGAACGTCTTGGAATGACTGAATTACGTATTGGTGCTAATAAAACCAAATTTGGAGAGGTTCGTATATTTAATCTGATTTAATTTTTTAATTTACTTTTGTTTTTTTAAGATTGAAGAAGATGCTTATCAAGATGCAGTTGGATTTTCAACAGGTATGCTTGGAAAATCTGGCTCAGGAAAAGTTCGAGCAGCACAAGTTGATTCGAAAACAAAAGCAAAAATATCTCAAAAACTTCAAGTTTGTTATCTTCGTCTTCCTCTTCTTCTTCTTCATATTATTAATCTTTTTTTGTTTTTAGAAAACTTTACAACGTCAAAATAATGCATATGGTGGTACAACAACAGTACATAATAGAAAACAAATTAGTGGAACAGCATCAAGTGTTGCTTTTACTCCACTTCAAGTAAGAAACAGTTTGAAAATTATAATTCATTTATTTTCTAATTTATTTTTTGTTTAGGGCCTTGAAATTGTTAATCCAAATGCAGCTGATAAAGATAAAACAGGAATCGAAAGTCAAAAATATTTTTCGAATACATTTGGTTTTACTAAAATTAGTCCATCTGTTATACCAAAAACAACTTAATTTATTTGTATGTTTGTGTAAATAAGTTAAACAAGGAAAAAGTGTTTGTTTTTTTGTTGTTGTTGTTACTACTATTATATTTGTGAAACATCATATATAAGTTCATTTGATGATTATATTCTTACAATAAATTGTAATTTGTTATAGGCACGAATGATTCGGAACTGGATAACATTCTCATATTTTTTTTGACTATGTGAAATGATTGTCAAATGCATTAACAATCTCTTTTATGTTGATTCTTTATAATAGAAGTCGTTATGTTTATATAGATTTCTACTACAAATTAATCAGCTTTTCTTGATTAATATTTACTATTTCATTCATCAAGTGATGACTGTGCACACTTTGAAAATTCACATGATCTTTCACTTCTTCGGACTATTCTTGTAATGATAGATATTCATTTTAATTATGAAGAAACTCTATGAATGGAATATTACTCTAACGGTGAGAACACTCTCGTAAAGAATTAGAAACGTAAATATGTCTGGCAAAGTCATTTACAGAGTTGTTCTCTATATATGAGCGCGAGCCACTGAAAATAGAATTAGCTGAAACATAAGTGAACAAGAAATTCTTTCATTTATTTATCATCTATTCTTCATAATTTGTTTTTTACAGTTTCAATATTCTCTTTCACAGTTTTTATATAAAAATGAGTTGAAGGTAATGCACGTTGGAATATGCCCAGAGCACGTTCAAAATATGATAGTGCTTTTGAATAGTCTTTCATATTGTAATACATCTTAGCCATATTATTGTATGAAATAGCCAATGAGGGATGATTGGAAGGTAGAGTTTTTTGTCGAATTTTAAGTGCTTTTTCGTAAAATGAAAGTGCTCTCGAATAGTCTTTCATATTGCCACAAACACCACCGATGCTGTTGTATGAAGTAGCCAATGAAGGATGATCTGAAGAAAGAGTTTTTTCTCGGATTTCAAGTGCTTTTTCGTGAGATGAAAGTGCTTTCAAGTACTCTTTCATGCTGTTATACACACCACCGATGTTGCTGTATAAAACAGCCAATTCTAGGTGATTTGAAGAAAGAGTTTTTTGTCGAATTTCAAGTGCTTTTTCGTAAAACAAAAGTGCTTTTGAGTACTCTTCCATACTTTTATACACTACCCCGATGTTGGTGTATGAGATAGCTAATGAAGGATGATTTGAAGGAAGAGATTTTTGTTGAATTTTAAGTCCCTGTTCATAATACGAAATAGCGTTTCCATAATCACCTAGAGTCGAATGTACATAACCTATTTGATTGTAATAAATCGCTTTTTCACCCTTATCAGATGTCTGTTCGAGTAATACATTGTATAGTTCTTCAGCTTTATTAAGTTGACCAATTTTAAGCAATAAGTCACCCAATCGTTGCCATCCAGTACCACCAACTTCTTTTCGTATCCGATCGGTAAGTAATCGTAGTTGTTGGTCATCATCCGATGTTAATTGTAATTCAACTTGATAAAGTTGATTGTTACTATCCATTTGTTTAATTTCATTCACTCGAAAAACGGTATGCATGGAGAAGAGAACTTCTTCTTCTTGTGCCTCGTAATAACTTAGTTCAGTAATGCGGGCAAATGGTGTTGATTTAATACAAGGATTAATGGACATTGTAAATAGAATGCCCACCTTGTCCGGTACTGTTGAAGCAATGTCAGCATAACCGATGGATACTTCTTTATCTTTGCTTGTGGACAAAAAGTTATTAAAGGACATTAAACCACCTTTTGTTTCTTGCAATTTTTCGAAGTTTGCGTTGGATAGACCTTGTCCCCGATAAACTATGAATGGTTTATCGTGATAACTACTAAGTTGATGTTGGTGTAGTTGTTCGATTTGTTGGTGAAGATCATGAATGAAAAAACCCATATTAATAATAATATCACCATCCATAGAGCGTAGAGCATAATTGAGCATAGAATAGATAAATGATGGGTAAGTATACCACTAAATAGCTGATTGAGCGCGGTATTGTTTTTCAAACAGATTAATATTGATTGACGACTTTGAATTATCCTGTCGACAGTAAGTGATAAAGTCTTTAATAGCCTTCTCGTCATGTTCCATATCAAGAAGAATATCCTTGAATATTTGGGTGTACATAAATGTTGGCTCTAACTGATTTAAATTATCAGTTGAGGCCATTTCATTTGCTGTGATAAAACTTATGGCTATCGAGTCTCGATGGTATTGTCAAATACCCAATTGTAATTCTTGACATAAGTCATCGATATTAGTATGAACGCTCTTGATTTTTTGCCATTTTTTTGTCGGTTCTTCACGTAAGGATTTAATGTTACTGAAGACATGAACACTATCCAGTTGAGGGATATCATTAATAAGGGGCATGATTTGTTGTGCCGTATCATTCTCTACAACGAGGAAAGACTTGATATCTTCTTGAGCATCTGTAAGATAGTCGATGCATGTATCTCGCTGCTTAAAGCTGTTGACATTATCAGTAATGGTTTTTAATTGTGTCAAAATATTTTGATAAACTTTGCTTGTTTCATCCATACACTCATCTAACCAGAGGACTGAACAATTTTGAGCCATCCATCGTCTTGTTTGAATAACTTCTGATGGTGTTATGGTCGTGTTATTGTTATTCATGAAAGCGTTTGAAGATAAAAACGATTTTTGATAGATGCTGGATCTACTCACTTTGTCTTATATATAATTTGATGTTGAATGTAAGCTTGCCAGTAATTGTTATTGTTTAAATGGTAAAAAAATTCACTGCTCTTATTTATAATGTCAATGACGTGTTTTTTGCAATTTTTTTCAGCTTACAAAATGTGTCTTTTTCGAAGACTCAGAGAAACTTCAATTAGTTACTTTTTAAAATACTGTTGTGAAGAGTAGGAGACAGATAAATAAAAATAAATTTCTTGACAATGTTCGCGACAGAAAGGGCAAATCATACGCGAACGAGATGGTTTCGTTTTATATTTATTCTCTCAAATTTCCTCTAACCTTCATCCACACAGTTACTCCAATATGTCAATATGCGTACAGCAATTAGTCAATGAAATGGAAACGAAAAAGAAATATGATACATTCAGCAAATGTTGTTTCTCTTCATCATACATTATTTTGTTGCTAAATAGCTGCAAGCATTTTGTTAGAACAAAGTGGGTGTGGTGTGTGTAAGTGTTTGAGAGTGTGGCCGAGGTTGAAGGTAGATGTGGGCTAACGAGAGATATTTTACTCTTATCTTCATCCTCACCCACCCACCCACACTCTCAAGATGAATGAAATATTTATCACTCATTTGTAAAAGAACACTTTTCTCTCATCAACAGTTAGGACACCGAAGAAGAAAAATACTGAATGTTTTTCAGTTACGAATCAGAAGTATTCTTTCGAAACATGTGGTATACAATCTAACGCTACATCGAGAAAAAATAGAGTCAACGGGGTAAACCATGGCTTTGATTCGATTGGGTGTGTATGTCTTCAATCGTATTGGTATTTATGAAAGTTTTATATTGATCAATAGACATTTCTGTCGAAATAATGCTTTAAAGTGTGTTTTATATTATTGGCACGACACTTCAATACTGCTTATTATTTATTCTGCAGCATTGTCAATAACATCAAATACACCATACAATTGGTCTTTATCCTATTACATACACTCGTCTTACAACGACCAATGTGCGTTCAATGAAACAAAACAAAAGAAAAGAAACGTCGAATATCAAATGTCGACGTAGGAAAAGCTTCATTAATACGAGACGCGTAAAAGATTTTATTTATAACTCGTGCGCGAAGATAAATTCATGTCTTCTTCTACATAAAATAATGGAAAAGTTAATAAAACCATTCAAAAAATTAACTAATATTAAAAATTTATTTCGGCGTCGCTCACCGAAAATTACGTGGGAACATTCATGGTCATCCGATGAAATCAAAAATGCTTTGGAAAACTCTCACTTTCGAGTATTACCTACTGAAGTGATATTACAAATATTTAAATTTCTAAGTGTCCATGATTTGGGTAATGTTTCATTAGTCTGTCGTAGATTCAAAATGGTGGCCGATCATGATGAAATTTGGAAATTAAAGTGTCAATGTAAGTCTATTCAATTTCTTTATTTAATTCTCTGTTATCATATTATGATATAGCCTCAACTAAATTATATTCGAAATCTTTTAAAAAGATTTACATGGATTGGATCTATGAGAAATATCTGCGTAACATAGAAATAGAAAAAGTTGAAGGTTACTACCATAAATATGGATATCCTACTTGTTGTATGTCGCACTTCAGGCCACCTGTACATCCTGTTCGTTCAAGTGGTGAACATGATTTTGTATCCATTGGTGGATTCAAACAGCATCCAAATAAATCACAAAACATGTAAGAGACTAATCAATATATCATATCTCTGAACACTTGTAGATTAGTTTCTTTTGCTTAGGATGATTGAATTATCGTTTGACGTGAATAAAACTGTTCATGAGCTCATATCATTATATAAAAAAAGGTCTAAACTGCAAGCTGAATGGCGGCAAGCACCAGTTATTAAGCAAATGATAACAAGATATTATCATTTTATACAACTTAAAGCTTTATATCCGAGTGATATTCTACTTATTCCAACATTAGATATTGAAATTATTTGGCAGACACATCTTCTACGACCAAAAATGTACCGAGAAGATTGTATCAGATTATTTCATCGAGTGATCGATCATTCTTTATTAGCAAATGAAATAGAACAATTTCTTAAAGAACAAGCTTTCAATGAAACTTGTAAATTATATGAAGAACGATTTCATGAACCATATTGTCCATTACCTGATCGTAAGAATAAAAAAGCAGTTGAAGCTAAATATTGTCATCCCACAATGGGTTCATTGGAATGTATTATTCCAATTTATTCATATTGGGATGAAACTCACGTTACATTCTCATCAACCAATCATGATGATGATAACCCATTTTCATTTACCGAAACTGATGTCATTCTTGATGGAAATTGGTTTGATTTATTGCAACAATACATGAAAGAAATGATATCAAAGGTTCAAATTTATAGTGATTATGAGTTAGGTAAACATATTGATCTTAGTGAAGCAGCAATCAAACGATTAAAAAAATCTTATGAACGATTTTTATATATGGCAGCTAAATATCCATCAACAAATAGATATAACTTTGTACATTCAACATATGCAGTAAGATGATTTTGTATGAAATCTAGAAGAGTATTTATTTGTATATAGATTGATATTATCTGGTATTCACATATGCAAGAACCATTGAAATATGCATCTGATTGTATTCGTCTTGTTAATTATATTATTGATCATACACCATGGATATCAGCAGATGGAAATATAACGAAAAGCATTTGTGATGATATAGCAAATATTTGGAAAAATGAGTTCGATAATGATATGGAAACTGACCATTTATATAATACCACTGGAGATGATTTCGGTTATTCAGATGATAATGATTAGAGTATTTTATTTTACTAACAACTTACACACTAAATTATTTTCTTGAACTATTGTATAATTAATGCGGAAGACTGATAAAAACTAACACAAGGATGTGGATGTGGGTATGAAATGGAAAGAGTACCCACACCACACCCAAATCAATAAACAAAAATAATCGTCATTGATATTCTGGAGTCTCTTCAAAACATTAAAGCAACTTTATACTTTATTTTAAAGGTAGATGGCGCATCTGAATAAAAGAGAGCTATAATAGTCATATCCTTTTCTAGTATTGCTTGATTTCTTTGAATTTCGAAGAAACTACAGGATATCGATCAGTAACTTACCATAATGTCTTGAATCCTTGAATTTTTGGATCTTGGGTATATTTCAATGGATGAGCGAGATTCTTTATTCTTTTTATTAAATCAGATGTATTAATCTTGACAGTGAGTGTGAGTATTAACAAAACGACACATACCCACATCCTTGAATTTAATTTTATTGTTATATATTTCAAATAGATTGATACAAAAAAAGCAGCTAATAATAAACATAGAGCAAAGTGCAGTTTTTCTTCATACTGTTGATTTTATCTACCATCAATGACTTCTCAGACCCATTCTAGTTGTTGCTGTTCCTTCAATGAGCACGGGTCGCAAAGGTCGACGAAATATCTTTATTTTTTGAATGACATTTAAAAATTCTCGTCGAAACAACTTTGATGATACGAAAAAATTAGCAAATGTCAATGCAAAACCAAGATAAAGAACAACATATGTCATATTATTGACGAATGTCTCAATAGAAAGTTGAAGTGACGATTTGTAATTATTTATAGTAAACACTCGATAAATCAAATAACATGGATTTGGTATATTGAGAAAAATAAAAAGAAGAAGTTGGTTTACCAACATCTTATGAAGTTGAACATCTTTCATAGAAATTTTACCAGTTCGAACAGATCTATCATTAAGATTCCGTGTGGTCGGTGCAATAGTTTTACCAGTTCGACGAACATTATTGGCAGTTAATAAACCAAAAATAATCATTAAAGATACAGGAAGAATTCCACTATCAATCGAAATGTAGATGCTAAAAAATATTCCATACGCTCCTAATCGAGCTTGACAGCTGTTATTAATGATCGCGTAGAAAATGATTATTTGGGTATACATCAGACTCCAGAAAATTGCATTACCAATGATAACACGTAGAGCAATCTTTGGTGAACTCCAGTGACGACGGAGAGCACTTCGAGAACTAGCAAAATATCGATCAATTGAAGCCATAATGATATTATACCGTGAATTAGCAATAAGAACGTAGAAGAGATAGTAACGCATCTTACAGAACCAGAGATTCGTTGTAACAGTTTGAACATTGTAACCGTATTGAAGCATTCGATAGAGTAAAGCAAAATTGAAAGCCAATAATTGTGAAAAACTTGAAGCGGTGAAATACATAGAACACGCACTTTTACGAAATGTAGGTTGGTAAAAAACTATACAGGTTAAAACTGATCCAATATTACCCATCAACCAAATAATACCTAGGGCATATTGTGAAATAGTCTTGTTTATAAAATTGATGTGACTAATCTGATCAGCATCACCATTATTAACGACAATATTAGTGCTGTTCATCGTTGTTTTCTTTTATAAATCTATAAATAGAAAGATTGATTTCAATATTATTTATACGTATATTTGCTAATTAATTCATGACAATCATCTACGAAAATGTATCGGTAAGTATTCTGAATTATTCAGCTCTGTCAATACTTTTCATCAGTTATTTTTATCAGCTAATTAATTTTACTTTGACACTAAGTCAGACATATATGTTTTAGAAGATTTCTCATTCAAATAATTGATACATTGTCTCTCTGTGCAATATAAAACCGCAGGAAAATATGCCTATATCATAGACATAAGTTACCTGAAAGATACTTTTATGAATTATTATTAATCTTATACTCACAGAACATTTGCATCGCAAGATACATAAATAAGCAGAATAGTATATCAGTATTAAATAGTTTTTTTCCAAGTACGCATAATGCAATAGTATTAAAAGTTTATAAAAAATTATATTCTACATAAGCATCTTAAAAAATTTTAAATGATTACATACGGTATTTTTAACATTTATAAACTGTTGCTTGAATTTAAAAGGATAGGTTCTATTGTGCTGTTAGTTCTTAGTTTTGAGAAAAAAAATAATTATTATAAATTATAAAGAAAATTGTATTTTTGCTCAATGAATCGTGATCGAACATAATATGGGAAAGAAACAACAAATGTCGTGCTAATTCATTTCTTTAATGAATGGAAGGAAATGCATTGGGTAAAATTTAATTGTCTTTCAGTGGATGAGTTCGTTATATGAATGTGAGAAAAAATAAATAGTAATGAGAAGAAAGTCGTTTCTAACACAGTGATTATATATCGTGTGACATGACAAAAGATATCTTGAGGATGAATGGAATCCTGAATTCAAAATAATTAAAATAATCACATTCTGAGTTTTATTCATGTCTTCATTTTTATTATGGATATATTTATCAGCATATAAGATTGAATTCTGTAGTTTTATTTTGAAAATGTTGATTAATTATTATGGTATATTTAAATATTTGATTGAAATGTTCTCGAATTTGTTTGATTTTTATGAAGCTATAGTATCAATCAATGAAAGATCTTAAATCTCTTAATAAAAATAATACTGGATACTGTGTCACTTCCTGCCCAGTCATCATTGGTGCACAGAACCAAGTACATATTATTTTAAATTATGTCGAATCAGTTTTAATTACAAGAAAGCATGTTTTAGCTAAGATAAAAGCTTGTCATCACAAATCTTCTGGAGCTAAAATATGAAGCTTACATGTCGCCTTTAACGTCACTATAAACTAATAAAAAATATCAGATAGTTATTTATTATTTCTGTTTCATTTTTCTTTGATTTATTTTTCATTCGTTTTCTAATTGTGCAACAACATTTGAACTATAAATTATTATATATATGTTAAATAAAATGAAATTTCGCCCAAATATAAATATGATCACTGCCAAACATTTTTAAAGTCTCTTCCGCTGATCGATTTTGAACATCCCAAGCTTTTCCACAATCAATTAATATAACTTGTTTTGGATCATAAAAAATATGATCAATAGATGAATTAGAATTATTCTGAGATGAATCCGGATAATATGTTGGTATTATCTTATCTTCAATTGATTCATTAAATATATTATTATATTCAATCCATTGGAATTGATCATAAATATCTTTTGTTGCATTTAAATCTCCACCAATAATCGAAATTAAACTTGAACTATCTAACAATTGTTTACATTTCTCTTTTATTTGTTTTGCTTGTGATATTGAATGAATATAATCTAAATGTAAATTAATTAAATGAATATTTTTTGAATGAATAGAAATAATTTGAATTGCTTCTCCTTGTTCATTATCAAGAATTTCATTAATAATATTTATTTCTTTTGCATATTTCCAATTTTTATTAATTAATGTTAAAAGTCCATTAGAAATTGAACTCATTGTTGGATTATTTGGAGCAAATTCATATATATATTTATCATGAAATTTTTCTTTACATAAACAAATAAAATCTTGTTGTGCTTCTTGAATAATGATAATATCACAATTCATTGAAGATATTTTTGATAAAATAATATTATATCTTGTTTTAGAATCAATAGCTAATTCATATAAAGATGGATACCAATCTTTGTTAACCCAACAAGGAGCTAAAATATTCCAACTCATCAATGATAAATCAAGCATTCGTTCTTCTGTAGACATTTATTAAAATAAAATAAAAAAAAAGAAGAAGATATTTATATTTGTTGATAAATGAAGTAATCAGTTTTGAAAAGAATAGAGGTCACATGAATATTTTATTATTAGATATCGATGCGCATATTGAAATTTCTAATTCATTAACATACTGAAATTTACTAATAATGAAAATAGAGATTCTTTCTAGTTTAATTGAATTATGTGTTATTATATGTCTTCAATATTTTAATAGTGGAAATCAATCATAATTTCTATCAATAAGCAGGGATATAGATATGTATAATGGAAAAATCAAATTTTGCAAGAAAAGAAGCTAAAATTTAAATAGAACAAAAGATAATAAGTTTCAATTGTATTCCTATATTTTCGCTCACCTGCAATGATCTACATATATTGTCATAAAAGATATATCATCAATTTATAATGGCTTTTTAGATCACATTAATATATGCTATGCAAAGATTTCTCTAAATTAACGAAACATCTTTACTAATAAGTCTATATACTATAACTCGCTCAGCTCTTTCTCGTAGAGGCCATGTAGCTAATTATCATCAAGCCACTCATTTATATGACTTTTAAAAAACTAATATCAGATTCATGTTCCTCGATCTCGATTACATCTCAGTGAAGTTTTATAAAAGACTATGTCTTCTAGTTCAAACCTTTTTTGACCAGTAAGAGAACTGCGGACAGACAAGCAAGACTCTTCTCTACGAGAAAGAGAACAAGCATTTCTTCAGCAACATCATGAGAAAATAATTAGCAAGTTATTTTTCATCATTTGAAATATTATAGGATCCACGTATACGATTCGAGTTTTTACTACTAACCGTCGTTATGCATCTCAAAGCAATGTAGTCTTCAACGTTTTTTTATAATTTATAATCGCAACATAAGAAAAGAATTAATAAAATGATCGTGGAAGAAAAAGAATTACGCAATAATATTTAAAAATCTGTTATTCTAATAGAGATTGAAGTTTCGCATTTTCACAGGAGGAACATTCACTTGCGTCCACACTTCTGACGGAGTCAAATCGTTTACTGACACGAACTTTAATTTGTGTAGATTAATATTAGTTTTTGTCGAAACCGCTAAATAACTAGCTCCAAATCGAATTACATTATACGGATGACCGTATTTATAAATCGGTGTCATCCGAAGTATGTTATTCTCTGTAAGGTGATGAATATTGTATGTTCCCGAATCATTTACAAGCCAGCCACTAGAACTGAGTGATGAAATACTGCATCGTTGACTTCCAAAAGCGTCGGTAATAGTAATTTCGAATAAACAATCGTATGTTGTTGTTGATAAAATTACAACATGAGGCTTTGTTCCATGTCGACTATTCATAGTCAAAGCAAGTTTGCCAGCATTGTAAGACATGCCATCAATAAGATCATCCCCACGGCACATAAAAACAGATTTAGACCAGAGAAGATCAGAGAACGAATGTACTAACACTTCTTGAAGTGGATGAATATTAAGATAAAGTGTGTCATGTGAACAAGCACAATTTTGATAATATTTCTCTTCAAGTATCTTGTGGTAGTTCATAGTTTCTGGATTCATCGTAAATACCTTATAATCACTAATGATATATATTCGATTGAGTTTTGTGTTCCAACATAGATCACTAATCTTTTCATAAATCCATTCAATTTCTCGAACTACTTTCATTTTTGCATTAAGAAGACATATATTTGGACCATTTTGAATTAACATATATTGATCATTTGCAACCATAGCGAAGGGACTATATTCTATTTTCGTGATCGTTCGAAATGGTTCACCCAACTGACATATATCAAGCACTTTGACTTTCGACGATGATGAAGCCGAACTAAAAAGTGTAGAAATAAAGCATTTTGAAATAATTTAAATAGACTTTGAAGACCTGACCGATATGCTCCAAAGGCCGAAAGTGAATTGGAGTTCATTAATTTATTCTAATGAAATTTTGGCGAATGAAACATTTGACTATGTTTCAGCGCCTCAGTAAGGTATTGTTCTTATATTTTGAAACTTCCAGTTCGAAATCAAAAGAACTAAAATGAACTGCACTTTTTCACCACTTCTGTTTCTATGTATTTATTTTCGTATGAATTTCGATAAACTAGCGATACCCTTATCATGAATTCAAAAAGGATCTGTCCGTATTTTCATGACATAGAAAGTGACTCAGATTTTGTAGAGAGTAGCTAAGAAAGACGAACGACATTATCGATTAGTTTTTGCCTGATCAGAAGAAAAGGTTTAATATCACGCTGATGACGATTAAATTTATCTGTAGGGTAAGTTTTGGACTGAAAAATCTTCTTTGAATTTCTTCTAAAATATCCGCCTCACAGTCAAAATTTCAGCAAAATAAATGAATGGGTGAATCAAAATAGTACGGATCCATTGAATATGCCCTCTCATAAGTGAAAACTTTGAAGAACAAGTTTGAAACTTTTCAGGGCGAAGATGCGTTATTTCAAGAGCAGGGGTATTAGCCAACGGATTGATCGGTGGCACAAACACTTTTTTGTAATGTGTAATCCAATCAACTCAATGCTTATTTTATCAAACAAAATAGAACGAGCAAACCTTTTGCATGTGTAGAGAGTTTTTTTAAGGTAAAACACCATCAAATGAGGAATTCAAAAATCTATTCGTCTGAAAACTAGTTAAAGGACGAACCTGATTGGCGTTGTTATTGACTTGGGAATATTCAGATGGGCAACCGATTCATCAATGTCAAGTATATCTTCAGACAGCAGCGGACCATGCTTTATTTCATATTGATTGATGTAAGAATCTCGCTCGTTTACTTCGCATTTAATAATATTGCAGAGTAAAGAGTATTTGGCATTATCTAGCTGATGCAACCTTTCAATTTCACTGCGTATAAACGAGGCCACTCCCACTTTTGCTTGCTGCTCTGTCAATGGATTACTCTTGTCTACTGAGAAATTTTGTACACAGGAACAATTTGGATCCAAACCATGTCGACAATGCACAATAGCATTTAAAGCTCTTCGACGATACCAATTCCTTTTGTTCAAATAATTTCTTTCTTCACTCGCTTGAAATCGTTGAATAGTTCCACTTTCTGCTCTTAATGAAAAGTCCTCCATCTATTTCTTCGAGACGTTTTGTTGCTAATAGAGAAACGTTGTATCTCATTGTGTCTGCATATGTTATGAGAAGAAAGATAACGGTTATTGATAAGTACACGGGTAGAACGAATGAAGCTGATAAAAACAAGAAAATCAACAGTAAATGGATGGGTGTGGTGTAACCGAAAGACCGTTAAAAGACACTCACACCCTCAAGATTTAGATTTATATTTCTAATATGTTGAACATTCACTCAGAATCTTGACAATGATCGTACACTTTTTAAAACTGTTATTTCATAAATAAGTAACACTATTCATTGACGCATAGCAACAAACAAGTTAAGATGTTGTTCTTTTCATCAGCCTTCTAAAGTCTTCTTAACTTCACTGCATAATATATTTGTTTTTAACTACTGAATTTAGAATAGAAAATGTTATCAGTAATTATGTGTACATAAAATCTTTTTTTTAATTTAACTTGAATTGAAATATTGAGATGTTGTTAACTGTCGGATTAAGTTCGAACATAAAATTATATTTTACATCATAATTTTCATATATATATACGATCTTTCTATTAAATTATGAAGCTTGGTCTTTTTTGTCAACAATACCTTTTGATCTTTGATTACCTTTTAGTATATTTCAAATGATCCTTCTCATGACATTTGTATTTAAAGTGACATAAAAAGAATTTTAATGAAAAAAAAAGAAAAAATTATTCGATTCTTCTTTTTTTCTTTTTCTTTTTTATACCTTGATTATTCATATTATTTCTCATAATGTTTGTCCTTCAATAAAAACATTGCAACTAGTCACTATTTTTACTTATAAAACACGATTTTTTTTAATTTTATTTTCATTTGAAAACGAAAATTAAAATTAACAAAAAAAAAAATGGTATTAAAGAGTATTGTTCGTTATATAATAAATAATTATTTAAAAGATTATATTGAACGATTAGATGATGAAAGATTAAAACTTGATTTAAGACATGGTTGGTATTTTGAATTATTTATTTATTTTATTTATTTATTCTATTTTAGGAAATGTTTCATTAGAAAATCTTCATTTAAAACCAGAAGCTTTAGTTAGTTGATTGATTAATTTTTTTTACTTCAAATTTATAGAATTATTATTTTTAAGGTTGGATTTGGTATTCCCGTAACAGTAGTTGTTGGTTTTATTGGTAAGATCTATATAGAGAGAAAAAATAATAAACTTTCTTTTCTTTTTATTAGAAAAATTGTCAATAGTTATTCCATGGAAAAATCTTCGTTCGAATCCAACAAAAGTATATCTCGATGGATTATATGTATTAGTTGTACCAAAAAATGGTATATTTTCTTCAAATTAACTTTCTTCTGTATGGAATAGAATTTATTTGTTATAGAAGTACCTCAAGATTTTCGTGAATATCATGCAGAAAAAATGAAACGTGTTCAACGTAAATTGGATAATTTACGTAAAGCAACATTAGGTTATTATTTTAATTTCATTTTCTTGTTTAATTTAATAATTAATTGTTATTTTTTAAGATGAACATAAAGTTGAAGAAAAAGAAAAAGGTTTCTTTGAACGAACAAAATTACAAATGATGCAAAATCTTCATTTAACTTTGAAAAATTTTCATATTAGTTATGAAACACAATCAACAACAAAACTTGGACATCCATTTTCATTTGGAATAACAATTCATTCTTTACAATTAATTGTTAATCACACTTTTTTTTCTTTGAAATCTTATTTGATAAATTTTCTTTTTCTTCTTTAGACAACAACAAATACACAACGAATTGGAAAAATCAAAGAACATACATATATTATTGCTAAGGTTTTCTATTATTTTGAATATTTCTATATTTTAGTTATTTTAGCTTGAAGAAATTAATTCTCTATCAATTTATTGGAATACAGATTGTGAATCAAGAATTAATAAACCTTTTCAATATGTTGTTGTTAGTACAAATATTATCTTTGCAAAAAAAAAACAAAAACATTTCTCATGTTTAGGATGATCTGAAATCTAAAATAGCAACAAATGATTTTGTACCAAAAAGCAATGAAATGAATTATGGTTTGTATATGAAATAATTGAATTACTGGTTTTTTAATTTGATTTTTTTGATTTAGTTTTTCATCCAGTAAATTTAAAATTTGTATTAGAAATGATAATGAAATTTGCAGAACATAATTTTGAAAAACCAACAATTAAAGTTGATTTTACAATTGAACGAATGAATTTTGAAATTGATCCAAAACAATTATCTGATTTACTTGATTTTGTTAAATTTCAAAATTATAGTGTTTTCTATGGTAAGAACAATTCTATTCGACAATTTTCTTTATCCATTTTTTTCTTCAAAAGATCGATGTCGTGAATATCGTCAATTGTATTTAAAAGAATTTCTTTCCAATTCAACATTAACACAAGAACAAGAAGATCGAATTCATGTAATTATTTTCTTTTATATTTATAACAATATTATTTATTTTTATTTAAGATTCTCGAATCAAAATTAGATGTATTTACAATGGCATATATAAGACATAGTATAGAATTAGAAGTATGTTACGCTTTATTTCGATTAAATCATATTATAATTCATATAGAATAATCAATCTTCAAATGGAGATACGAATACGGAATATGGCTGGTGGAATTGGTGGTGGAGTGGAAAAGCAAAACAAACTGAAGGTTTTTTTCGTTAATACATACAATCCATTTCGATTTAATCTGAATTCTTATTTAGATCAACGTGGTAGAAGTATAGAAAATGTAAATACTACTGAAGATTTTTTCTCTGAAGAGGTAAAGAATTCGAATAAAGATTTGTTATTAATTTGAATAATTAATATTTAGTCTTTAAATACTGATGTTCAAATAAAAATACATAAACTTGAATTTAATTTATTATCTCCACCAAGAAAAATCAAGTAAATTTCTTTATTAATCGTATAAACAAAATTTTTATTTATTTATTTAGACAAAATAAAAAAAAGGAAATCATTAGTCGGATTAAAATTGATAATACACAAATTGATTATAAACGACGAACTATATCGTCGAGTATTTTGTAAAACCAAATTTTAATAGAATTATTTCATTTATTGACGTTCTTTTTTTTTTTGTTCAAAAGACTTGTACTTGATCTTGGATATTTTCAAATTTATGGTTTAAAATCAAATGAAAATCATCGCCCATTAATGTTAACATCCGCAACAAAATCATTAAATTCTTTAATACATATTGAATTTGAATTAGCTCCAACTAATAAAGTATCCGATTATCGATTCTTATTAATAATGGAACCATTAACAATTATTTACGATGGTGTAAGTTTATTGAAAAATAAAATTTGAAATATTTTATAAATCTAATAGGCAACTATAAATGAAATTGTTGAAAATTTTGAACCAATTGATACTAAAATTACTTTTACAAATCCAATGTATGTTAATTTGTTAAATAAAATAATTTATTTTGAAATATTATTTAGAATAAAACAACGAACACGTGAAGAATTGGAACATGATGTATTCAATCAGAAGATCTTTGATATGACAATGCAAATAAAAAGTTTATCTCTTGTTTCACCAGAATATGGAATTTATAAACAGTTTAACATTTTTTCTTTTCTTTCATGTATTTTATTTGTTTTTCTTCTAGAAATTCAAACATAATACTTATTCAATTCAATAATTTTTTGTTAAAATCATGTTTTAGTTCTGATCAACAAGATGATGATACTTTATTTAAGGTAAATTTTATTAAATTGAGAAGTTATTGAATATTATATTATCGTTTTTTCTAATTATTATAGACGAATCTAAGCGAAAGACAATATTATGTAAAATATAAATTAATATTTAATGATTTTAGAATAGTTTATTTACGACCAGGTATTTTAATATAGAAAATTGAATCAAAAGAAAAATCTATTCTATTTTAGATAAAGATCGATTAAATATATTAGAATCAATTAAAATCTTTCAAATGAATTTTTATAAATGTATTTATTCAGATGAAAATAATTTAACTGAGTAAAATTTTATCATTATTATTTAAATTTTCCTATATTCTCTTCTTTTTTCTATGAATTAGTTGGCGAATTTATATAAGAATTAATGAAATGGGTAATATTGAATTTTCTAAAAAAACGTTTAAAAAATTAAATAGTCATTATGAAACAATTCCATTATTTTCTTCAACAATGTTACAAACAATAAATCGAATTAATCTATTTTGTAAATATTTAATTTCATTTATTTGATTTGATATAATTATATTTTAGTTCAAATATTTTCTCCTTATTCAACAATTGAATTTTATATTTTAATTCCAAAATGTTCTTTTATTATTTCACGTTCACAAAAATTATTTGAAACAGGTTTCATTTGATTATTTATTTGATTTTCTTCTAGAAACGTTTTTTTATTCAAATAGAATTTCACAGTCATATCTTAAAGACAAGAAATGAAAATGAATTTAATAAATTTATTCAAATTGTTTTAAAAAATGTTGCAATGAAAGTTTCTTCATCTTCAATATCAAATCAGTAAGATTTCTTTTTTATTTTTAATTTTATTTAAATTAATAATTTCTTTTTATAAAGATTATCTCAATCATTTTATCAAAAGAATTTTATTCAATTATTATATTCGGATTCTCATACAAAATTATAATCATTAGACGATTTGAAAATTTTTTAGAAGAATATTTTTCATAAATAATAAATAAAATTGTGTAACTATCATAGAGAAATAGATCGTTATAGTCCCATATTATTCTTATTTGTATCATATTAAACACTTGAACGAGAATCTGATTGTCTAACAATGACGAGCATTTGACAACCAAGATTTTGATCAGCTTGATAAGGTCCATGTTTCATTTGAGGATTACGCCATGCATGATATCCTTTACCAAATGTTTTATTAAGAGAAAGATCAGTAATAGAACCATCTAGAAGATAAACTTCTTCATAAAATGTATGAGTAATGATATCATCGCCAGTTTTGAAACCTGGTGGCCATGTTTGTATACTAGTTTCTTCAGATAATTGTGTTATAATGATTTTACTAGAATTTTCTAATGGAAATGGAGGAACATCAGGTATATAAAATTCACGATTATCCATAGAATTGTTTTTTTATGGAACTTTTAATGATAAAGAATAATTAATGGAAACTATTTGTTGTATCAAATACAATGAGAAAACAAAATATAAATATTATAACATACTCTTCTTTCATATAAATAAATACATAGATAAAACTAAGATAAGCAAAAGATAAAATAACAACATGTTTTTGCTCTTTTTCATTGTTATTTAAATATCTTAATATTGATTTATTTCATTCCAAATATTCGATATAAACTATTTTTCTTTCAAAGATAAATTTTTCATTGATGATCATTCATACGATCTTTATCTTATTGAAAATTCTTAATGACAATTTTGCAAATATTATATAAGCAGTATTCTATTTCATTAAGATTCTTTTTAAATATAAAAAAATGTTAGCTTGTTGTTTCTCAATAATTGATGAAATGTATTTCATTTTAAACAATATAGTCAATTTGAAATCTACATGAATACTGTATGGTTGCGTTTGTTAGAGAATATGAGTCACATTTCATCGATGTTTATTTTTGTTTCACGGTAAGTAGGTGTGAGTGTATATGCGGTGTGGATTTAAGGGTGTGATGATAATATATCGACCTCACCAAGACCTACAACCTTGTAGTGCAACGTTTAAGAAAAACTAGAAAAGAATAGAAAAAAAAATCAATTGTTTTTTTCGTATATATATAAAATTTTCTTGCATAAACCTTAGTGTTGAATATGACCGTATGAAAAGTGTCTGTCTCATTATTTCACGCCACATTCACTCACACCATCAGGATAACGTGAAGTGAAGGCGTAAACAATTCGATTGTTGCTGACGAAAAAGAAAAAGAATTAAATTAATTTTAGTTTCTTACTAGTTTGTCATTTAATGATATAGAAGATCTTTAGATGGTTGATTCTTTTAAGCATCGAATACAAAACTATGAAATAAATATTTAATTAAAAAACTTGATTGATTGAATGAATGAATTAATATGAGTGATAAAGGAAAACTTTTTACATTTCTGAAGAAATATTTATTTTTCGTTAAATAAAAAAAAAACATTATACATGCAAAATAGACTTTGTATGATGATGTGAATGTTATCTTCGTTGGACACCCATATCGTCACACCCAGATCTGTACTCACATCCAAAGTAGCACACTCGCTCTGTTTAGGATAATTTCACAGTCAAATTTCAAGTCATGAGTGATAATATCATTAAATTTAAACGCAAGTTATTAATAAGAACCGTGACCAAGTCGTTTCTTCGCAATTGATTATTCGATACTATGCAATATTTGTCTTATGGACGTACATATACTTTTATATTCTATGTGACTTGTTCCCATTCACTGCTATTGCATGTGTTAGAATATTTCTTGTTTATTCACGAAGATAAATAAAAACAAACGACACAACAAAAACAACTTGAGCTAACGATCAAGGGAGACATGAACAAAAACTAAAACAGAGAGAGAAAAACACAATCCATATATATGCATAGATGAACAACATATAGAGAGAATAGATAAGAGTAGGGAACCTTAGGGAACGACAGATAGCGTACGTTAGCAACACGTAGAGATGGGTGGGTGGATGTACGAGTAGAAAAGATCAACATCCACACCAACACCACACACTCTGGGATAATATAAGCAAGCAAAGGGTCTGTATAATGATGATGGAATAAATACTTAAAAACATCCAAGAATTTTTGCTTTTAAATAACTTGTCAGTTCATTATTGCATAAATATAAATCGATCATCCAACATATGCAACTGACGCCATTCAATAATTCTAGAATTGTATAAACCCATACACTAACAACGCCAGCATAGTCAAAAGCTACTAAGAAATAAATAGGAACAGCTCCAACGAAATACATCCAAAACATAACGAATATATCTATCTATATATATAAAGAAGAAAGTTTGTCTGTTTGTTCTTTATGCATTTGGACACCGTATGAGCAAATGCAATGAAACTTTCCAGGAATGGTGTCTACAACCAGGGGAAGGTCAACGTCTACTTTGTTCCGAAAAAAAACAAATCCTACGCTTGCTACAGGCAATCTATGAAACTGACCAATAGGATTGCAGCATTTCAAAAGGTTAAAAAAACATCGATAGCGAAGGCGGCCGAAGGCCGTCTGAGCGCTCCAATAAAACATTTCATATGTTCTATCTATCTACAGCAGTCCGGTACTTGCTACAGGCAATCTATAGAACTGACCAATAGGAATGCAGCATTTGCAAAAGTTAAAAAAAACATCGATAGCGAAGGCGGCCGAAGGCCGTCTGAGCGCACATCTTCTGTTCGCTATACATTCGGTCCCTGTAATACCTATGATCACCAAACTTTCTATAACGCTTCCTTAGGTCCTAAGGACGATCGACGGGGATTGGTATAGTCATCGGGGGAGGGAGGGGGAGGGGTCGGAGGTGGCGTGATCGAAGCTTCACCCAGGTGGTTCTGTGATAGCTAACGCCACCAAACCATCAATCACACTTCTGTATATACAAGGAAAAGTGGCGAGGAGGTCGGATACGGAAGGTGCTTGAAATATAAATATTTTGCAGCGGGAACCGTATCAGAGGGATTTTACAGCCACAACTCTATGAGAGAGAGCTTGCAGCGGGAACTGTAAGACAAGAATTTTGCAGCGAGAACTGTGTACGAGAGAATTTGCAGCGGGTACTTCCGCTAGTGTTTTAATAAATGAAGATCACGTGCATTAATCTTTGGTCTGATAACTATAGTTGCACCATGTTGCGGTTGAACTCGACGAGTAGAAGAATGAGCATATTTGAATATTAAAAGATTGAGAACAAGAATAGTAATTGGTGGAATTACTTGGAAAGGAAGTAAATAATATGGCATCAACCAAGATGGTAGAGCACAATACTATAAATAGTTAAATTGAGAGAATCAAAATTTAGTAACGATATACAAAACGATGATTATGATCGCTCTGTTGGATGGGAAACTCAGAACTATGATGTTCATATATGGAATAATCTTCTATTCTTTTCACATAAAGAACATCACAATTCCGATAAAAATACATTCCTATCTTTCATATTTTGTTATTACTCAATAAAACTCATGCATGTAATATTTACCTTGAACGATGTGGAAATATAAATAAATAAAAACAAAAATTCTTACCGGTTTTAGAAGTATTGGAAATGGCAATGCTATAAGAAAACCAATGAACCATTGAATACCAATAGATATTGCTATAAATTTGTTGCTTTTAAAAAATGCCTTTCTACTATAAATTATTGAACAGTATCGATTAAGCGTGAGTACAACAAAAGTCATTGGCGCTTGGCATGATGTTACCACTTGCATGTAGATTAGGAAAGGACATGTAGCCTCTTGGTACAGGATTTCGATATAAAATTGAAACATGAAATAATAAATCGACCAATAACATGCACTGCATATTGCACCGGCACATATATTAAGTGTAAGGATATTATTGTGATTATAAAAACGACGAATACATAAGATTGGAATAGAATAAATCAAAGCAAGAGGGAGAAGAATGGTATAAGAAATGACTGTTGCAATACCGGCGACTTGTACGAATGATACCATGGCAGACTTTCTAAAAGAAGTTCAAATTGATGATAATATTATGATGAATAACTCTACTGCCAACAGACTAATTTGAGGGAAAAAAACTTCTAAACATTTCTTCTGAAATAGAAGAATATATCACGCATATATAGAATGAGAAGCAAAATGACATTTTTCTGAGTTCTATCAAATGTGTAAATGATGCCATAAGAGATAACCTACGTTTCGTACCATCCTTTACGAACGCCCGATTATGTGACCGGGTGTTTAGAAAAGAAATGCATTGTATACACAGAGTTCCTAATGAAGAGGTGGTATGAAATGTAAACTTCTCGAAATAAACTGTCATTCTTTTTTTGTTTTTTTTTTGAATATTTATTCAGCGAAGCAACAAAACTTAAAGCTCGAGACAAGAGATTAATTACGCAGTTATCTTTGATGATCCTCTTCTCAGTGCATACCATTATATACATAAACTGACTACATGAATTATATCAAATCATAAACTATAAGCTGTCATTCTATTTTTATTTTTGGACATTTGTTCAGCGAAGCAACACAATTTAAAACTGGAAACAAAAGATTAATTATGCAGTTATCTTTGGTGATGCTCTTCTCCATGCAAACCATCATATAAATAAACTATCAGTATAAATTATATCAGATCATAAACCATACAAAAGTATTACACTAATACTGATGTTTTCTTCACCTGACAAAGGAAACTTCAGAAAAAGCAAAATAACTATTTTGAATTCACATTCTAAAGACCTTTACACCTGTGTGTTGAAAATATTTCTATCATAGTTTATATTTGAATACCGAGCATATATATATATATATTTGAATGGCATTAAAATGTGTCCTCTATAGATACGACAGACTATGGCATTGATGTATATGATGTCATGAAAAAATTCAAAAATAATGATCGATAAAATTCTGATATTTATGTAGCACCATTTCAATAGAGCAAATCTAACAATGGATACTAGTAATCTTCAATAGTATTGATGCCAATATGTGAAAGCATTTAGACAGTCAAGCTATAGGAAGGATAAAGGAAACATGGGACAATACAAAATGAATAAATATCTGAAAATAATAGCAAAATTGGTGGACTTAAATTTTTGATAATGTCTTCGTAAACAGTTTAATGAAAACAAGATCGAGAAAAATCTAATGAAACGAATGGAAAAAAAAATAAAAAAAATGCTTACTTGATTTTTTTGTACAGACTACATTATCATGCTATTGAATGACAATCTCGTTATTGTAAGGTAAGACATCATAGTGTGTTTCTTTTGTATACACAAATAGAAAACTCTTTGAACATAAACACTAAAGAGCTATTTTTAATTTTTCTGAAACATGCTATTCGTTAGCATAAATAGTTTTCAATAACATCTAGTATTGTAAGAATTGTATCAATGTTTTTTAACTTGTTTAAAAAAATAAATATTTGCAAGTCATAATTCAAAAAGTTGTCATTTATGATCATTCTATTAATCAATATTCTTGATTCTGTTCTATCTTGAGGGTAGATGTGAGTGTGGATGTGGGTGATGTGGGGATATGAGTATCATTTTCTCCTCACACCCACACCCACACCCTCAAGATATAATTTCAGACAAAAAAAATCGCTACTCAGAAATGTGAATTAACAAACTAAATGATTATATTATTTTAATAAGACTTCCTGTTTTTTTTCTCTATTATCGATGTAAATAAGTAGTCAAATAGAAAAGAAATGTGTTTTATAAAATAATGTATAGTTCATTTTTCTGTGATTGTAATTATTTCTTCTATGTATATATATCATTGAAATTTTCATATTTGACTCGATATACTTTTGCTTATTTTTTGATGACGTGAAATAAATAACATAGTTGATAAGAAATCTAATTTGTCAGAAACCATGTGTTTCTTTCCCATTTTATATGATAATCAAAAAGGATTAGCAGTACTCAATTCTAAATCACTTTTATTAATGAAAAATTAAACATAAAAGAAAATGAAAAATGAATAAAGATGAAGTGGACAAGTAATAATGAATAGCATTATTATGACAAATAAAATCCGGAGATGATCCATTAAGTTGTATAATAGTATTAATTGTAGATTGATCTAGTGGTTGTGTTTGATTATATTTATCATCAAGTAACATCCAACCAAGAATTGTATAATTATCTCTAATATAATAATTTCCATTTATAAAATCATATGGAATTTCTCGAGAATAATTTCCAGACCAATAAAAAAAATCAAAATTTTCTTCGGCAACTCGAATAGAATTTGGTAAAACATCAATAATAACAGCGACATGTCCATGTGGCATATCAGCTCCTGAACGACTATAAATAAGTAAAGATTCATTTATTGGTGGAGAAGAAGAGCCATTTGCATATTTTTTAAAAGGAAAACATTTTTTATCAACAACTCTTTGAGCAGAATCTACTTGAGTCCATATATCCGCAGCACCCGGAATACTTTTAAAAACACATCCTTTACGTATAAAAAGCCATCGACGTGAATATTCAACACATTGCCATTTAATTCCCATATATATTCCATATAAATAAGAACTCTCTTTTGATACGTAAGTATCATTTCCATTTGAATACGCTTCAACATTTGTTGATGCATAGCCCATTATCCCATTGAATGGAACCTTAGTTGTATTATCTATTAGTTAATATAAAACTTTATTTATCTTTAATTATGGATGACAAAAGAGTCTATATTGTAAATTACCTGGTACTGATTGGACGCTTACTAGATTGTCACATTTCACAAGCAGTAAAATATTTGTAAAGAAGAAGAAAACCGATATATATTTCATGATCAAATCAAATCAAAACAATGATAGAATAGGTTTCAATTAATGAAACTCAATGTAAATAAAACTCGATGTGTCTTTTCAGATAGAGAAGAAAAAGGTCAAAAAACAATACCTCGCGAAAGAAGATAGAATTTCGATATTTTTTTTTACATACTACACTGTAAATATAACCTTAATGTCGACATTTAAATACACATATTTATCACATAACACGTGTTTTTTTCCTTGTTTCAACAATAAAATATCAAAGAATATAAAGAAAAGATGTGCGTGTTTGTATATGGTATAAAGAGAATACCCACACTCAAGATTCTTATTATTATTTTTGTTTAAAAAACGTTTTAATAAAACCAGTGTTGAGCAGTTCAATTTTTCACTAACATACTCGCCGAATGTTGAATATTGAAAGAAGATGATATTATCGATCGCCGTCTTTTTATTGAATTCTAAATTAAATATGTACTAGATTAATTATCTGTCATACAGAATCATCTGCTGATATATTTCATTCAAACAATACAAACAAAGATGATTAATCGATTAAATAAACAAAATTTACAATTATTTTCAAACATATATATACAAATATAAATTCCATCTATATTGAAAATTGTTAATGTCCAATGCTTCGGTTATAATATAACGAGAGATAAATCGTTGGTAAAATCAGTGAATAAGATTAATGATAGTGTTTGTTATCAGCATTGTATGTTATGGCATAGTGGTATCGACACTCAAACATCTTTCCCATTGATATTTTTGAATTCGTTTTGGTTTCGAAGTTTGAGTTTTTGATTGACGAAGATCCCAAAAACAGTCATAATCAATAGCAAACCCGTCTTTCTTAATAAGATCATCAATGTGAGCCAGCCAAAATTCCGTTGGTAAATCAATCACTTTAAAATTTGATGGTGTTTGATTAATGTCACGTACAAAAATCTGTAAATCAAGACGATCTTGTGTTAAATGTTCAACCCATTCAGTTTGATTGTGCGCATGATCAATGAAACGAGCCACAATAGTATTAATATCCTGAATTTGTTTGAGTAGACGATCATAAATATCAATATGATGATGTTCCAGTAGACATTCATAGCAAAAAGATGATTGACAATGATCACAATCGAGAAGATATTTGGACGTTGTCGTAAAACAAGTACAACAAATATTATATTTTTTGAATGTATCCATTACAAACGTTGCAAACGCTTCTTAATACTCTCTATTCTAATTACTGTAAATATTATATATATGAAGAAATTTTTTTATTACGTCATAGTTTCTTTTTCAGTACTTATGCAACTTTGTGTCATAAATATTTCATGATGTCATGTTTCAAACATGGTGCGCACATTGTTTTCTTCTTGTCAGACTCATGCTGATGCAAATTGCGCCATTACAGACGTAGAAGTTGCACAATCATAATGAAATAACATTACAGAAACGATGTCTACTCGGGCGTAAGTATAAAAAAATAAGTAGAGAATGTGACAAAACTTGCCACAATACTATAAACTATTTCACAATTACAGATTTTTTATTATTAAATGAGGGTGTGGGTGTGGGTGATGATGATGAAAGAGAAGACATCCACGCTCACACCCTCATCTGTACACTTTCACCAGCTAATGCAATTGTTTACGCATTAGTAAAATCAATATATTCATGCGGTGCTGTTTTTGTTTCTTTTAATTCTTCAATTGGAGATATATCAGCTAAACCTAATCAATTATCTTTCACTTACTATTCCATCCACAAAAACTTCTTCTTGATTTTAATAAATAATAAATTGTATCATATTACCACCTATTTTCATACTTAAAATGTATTTATTATATTCAATTCAACATTTTTCAATTATATTATATATGATCTTACAAAAATTCAAAAAATAAATTTTTTTACCTCTTCTTCAGGATAATGATATATTATAAACGTGTAAAAAAATAAAAAATTTTTATCTAATTGATTTTCAATTAATTGATTATTATGTCTTTTTAGATTTTTAAAAATAATATCCATTTTATTTTATCTAGATATAAAATTATATCTTCGATCCATATGGTAAAATGAATACATTGATTGAATAGAATAACTGATTTAATTACTTGGTGATCTGTTCGAATATTCAATTTTTGTCGATGTCCGCGGATGCAGATGAAATGATGATGCATCAAGAATTGGTGATATTGATAAATCAGAATACTGGTTGTTGTCGTCCATTGGGTTTTGAGAGTTAGATATTTGTGTTGAGCAAATTGGTTGGGTGATTGAACACATAGAATTCTTATTGAATGATGATACTGATGAAGACATGTGTAACGGAAAATATGGAATATGCAGCTCTATCACTGGTTGGGCATTGATATAAATGAACTACAGGTGCATACCCACCATTATGACAAATGGAGAGATATAGTTATAGTACCTTAAAGCACGATATTTATTCGACTAAGTACTACATCCAAATGTAACTGTTTAACATATAACACGGGTTTATATACTAGAGAGAGAAAGGGAGAACATGAAACAATAGAACTAGCTAAAAAGAGCAAACAGAAGGAGAGAGATGAAAATGATATAAGGGGTATCATTCAAAAGGACGTTCGTCACTTCTGTTAGCACATACAATATATGATTCACTTATGTATGAGGTCGAGACAAGTTACATTCAGACGCTGCATACATTTTTGTATGTAACTTATCCTTGTCGTTCTGAGCTAATCATATTTCATTCCACATTTAATCTAATACAATTTTGTCGTGTAGTAAAGAATAAAATATGTATTTGACATGCTTATTCCCTTTTCTGAAAGAAAGGGTTTTATCACGTTAAAATCATGGGCCTAAAATTGCTTAAAGTTTGTCTGTCTGTCTGTCTGTCTGTCTGTCATTCCGTCATTCCGTCCAAACCAATCAGATTGCAGCAAAGTTTTCGAAGCCCATTTTTTTAGAGGTATTTTGATGCAGGGATTTCGAATCCGAGGTCCGTTGGGTGACTATGGTGAAGGGAATGGGTGAATAGGGTGATGGGTGGGTGAGAGGTCAAAAAAACATTCAATATCGATTTTTCTAAAAACATATTTTTAGAGATATTTTGATGCAGGGATTTCGAATCCGAGGTCTGTTGGGTGACTATGATGAAGGGGGTGGGTGAATAAGTTGGTGGGTGGGTGAGAGGTCAAAAAAACATCCAATATCGATTTTTTGAAAAACATATTTTTAGAGATATTTTGATGCAGGGATTTCGAATTCGAGGTTAGTTTTTTAAGATTTTCTTATCCCTCATTTTTTTACACAAAGGATATGTATTTACGAAAAAAGTTTATTGGATACGGTGGGTGTGAGTATTCGCTTGTTCGACATGTGTTTAGGGGTGTCACTTTAACTTTATTAGTTAAAGTGCTTAAAGTTTAAAGTTAGAACTTTGACTTTAACTGTTAAAGTTAAAGTACAACACTTTAACTTTAACAGTTAAAGTTAAAGTAAAAACACTTTCCACTTTAACTTTATTTAAAGTTAAAGTATTTTAAAGTAATCTGATAACGGTCAAAAATGAATAAAGGAAACATTGTGGGTGGCACGTTAACTTTAACTTTATTAGTTAAAGTGCTTAAAGTTTAAAGTTAGAACTTTAACTTTAAGACTTAAAGTTAAAGTACAACACTTTAACTTTAACAGTTAAAGTTAAAGTTCTAACTTTAACTTTAACTGTTAAAGCAAAGTTAAAGTGACACCCCTACATGTGTTTAAAAACTATTTCTGGCAGATTGAAAAAAATCCGATTTAAACGGGACGAGAACGAGCACCGATTTTAGAAAGCGAGATCGCTATCGGGATGAGAATACCCTCACCCAGCCGGTTCCTCTTTGATAGCTATAATCGGATTTTTTGGTAAAATTTAAATAAATAGTTTTAAAAAAGGTAATAGCTGTTGAAAATTCTGCAGTTGAGTTGTCGTTAATAACAACTGTGCAATAAAATTCATAACAAATCAAGATCTTTCCTATGGGACAATGTAATATACTGTATTCGTAACAGTTTTCAACATAGTTTTCCTTTTCTTAGTTTCTTCTGAAGAATCATAGTATCAAATACTCAATATCCTTCTAAGAAAAATTCAGACGCAATGCACCTCTTCACTTCAAAGCTAAACTAATAGTGGAGGAAATAGTAGGGTTAAACATGGAAACGGCTAGCGGTGAGTGGCCGACCGAAGGGAGGCCGACGAATAGGTAGACGTTAGTTTTAAAGGTTGTTTTAAAGCACAGCTTTGAAATGAGTCTTAGTTAGTTCAAATGGTTTTTTGAGAGCACTTAATGAGTACTAATGTGAGAAAGAATCCGGCAGCATATCGTTGTGTCAGAATAAAAAGAAATTGGAAACCATGATGAACAATACGTAGTGCTATCTAAAAGTTGGAAGTTTTCGATTGCGAATCGATATGTTATGAGTGAAATAGTTTTGATGCACGTGAAAAATCTTAATGTAACAGATGATAGATAGAAAAATGTAGCATAATTTGGTAACGGCTAGCCGTGAGTGGCCGACCGAAGGGAGGCCGACGAACGACTAGGCGTTGATTTAAATGGTTTGTCCTAAGTGTAGTAAGTGAGATTTGTGTTTTTTTGCGAAACTGTTAAGTGATTCGGTTCTTGAGCTAAAAAGAAATCTTAATTACACATTTGACCTAACAACACCTATTCAGTAAAGGACTTGTGAATGCAAACATGGCATTATTTGCTTGTTGTGGCGCGAGCAGGAATAGATATGCAGTTGTACGACCTTAAAGGTTTTAAGAGCTGTTCGGGATTGTCTCATTTTAAATGAATTATTTTTTTTCGTATAGTCGTGGTTCGGGGTGAGCCGAAACATATAGCAGTTTAGTTATTCTATTAAACTTGCTGAATACACTTTGGATAGAGAATCAATTTTTTTCATAACATCAATTTTCCTGATTGTTCGGGAATAGTAAGGTTGCTTTGCTAAGATAACTTTAAAAGTGTAAGAATTCTCGAATATACAACGTCACAAATCCTTAAACTCTTTGAATCAAGTCAGTTTTTCAAAAAATGAGATATACGGCTGCGACTGATCGTTTATTCCTCTAATTAAACATGAACTATGGTCGATTAAGATTTTATGATGAGAGCCTGTCCAGGTTTCTTTTGTTAATATGTATTCAAAATGAAAATCATTTTCAATGATAATCATAGGAAATCTTCTTTCAGAAAAGGGTCAGCGAATCCATCGGATGAGCGTTACTTGTATTAAAATTGTATATTCATCTGTATCTGATACAAAAAAAAATTACATATTATTTCGATGATTTTCTTAGTGTTCAAATAAATGACTATTAAAATCACTTTACTATTGCTTCTCTCTCTATTCAATGTAATCGATCACAATAAATATTGAAAAAAATGATAAAAAGAATATAAAGGTGTTGAGATTCGGTACTCATATGTGAAGTTTTAGTATACTAGTTGAGAACAAAATTTTGATATGCCACAGAGATCAATAAATTTCAGTTATACTTTGTTTTTAGAACTTTGTAATTTCAATAAAAAATCATGTATAAGAAATTGAAACATTCAAAGAGTGATATGACTTTCAATTTAATTTCGCATAATTTTAATAACTTTTCAAAAATTACGTCAAGGTATTTATAAGGAAACGTAGTTCAAGTTAACGGTTAATCTTATGATATGCCTTTCCATATTAATAATAACAATCGTAATAATAATCTATAGTACTTCATAGCAATTTTTTTTTAAACTGAATTTTTATATAGTTATCTTTATCGTTTTTGACAAACAGGTGAAGTAAGATGAAACATTGATATAGAACAGGCAACATAGTCATTGTTGAAAGATATAATACCTTTTCTTTCGCATAAATTTCACATAAAAACAAGACAAAGGAAAAAGTATTAGCTTATTTTACAACATCAAAATATCGTATGAAAATCAACGATACTCTGCACATCATTGTGAGAATGCTTTCAATTGTCATCAATCGATATTTAAATGTGTCAAATCTATCCCTTTATATAAATTGAAAAATCATAAGACTCATCACAAATAACAAAATATTTCATTTAATCAAAAACTGCTTTTTAAGAAAGTTTTCGTTAACATTCGAAATGATATTATTAAAATTTCTTCGTTATATTTTTTAGAAAGTTCTGTAACATGTAACTATCGAGCAAATATATAAATATATTCATTTATGTTTGATCACGTTTCGTAGAGAAAAATATAAAAGAGTATCAAGTTAACGACAGACATCATGTAGACTGAGACTTCTATTGTATCATAAACAGTCAGATACATGTGCTGTACAGATCTAAAGAAAAATCGTGGTGTGATTTATTCGGAACCTTGGGCGGGTGTGGGTCAAGGTAAAGAGTATAGCCCTCATCTTCACACACACACTCACGCCTACATTCAAACTCACCTCATCCACACTCAGATCCTGAACCACCACCATCACCCATATCATGCCCAAACCCATCCAAATTTAAAGTCATCACCCACAATCAGACGCATATCCTCAAACAACTGAATAGCACAATGCTTTATACGATTGAAGAATTTTTTGTATCATTTCGTTATTCAATAAGAATAGCAAAAACAACATAAACTAATTATAAAATTTTGTTCGTAAAAAACTTGTTAACAACAATCAATTATACTGAGAGAAACCTCCCAAACCACATATTGAATTATATTGAAAATAAAAGAAATTTTTTCTAGTTTGTTTTGAATACCATACGACTGTTTACATTACATATTCGATGTTAGATGTGAGATTTCTTGCTCTATCATTACTTATTTTTTCTTACCTAGAAAAGTCGAAACTTTTTCTGTTATGAAACAAATTTTGTTTATGTGCATCTGCTTTGGCTTAACTACACTAACGAAGAGTGTACATTTTCTCGGTGGTACTATTACATGGCGCCCATTAAATGCATCAGCTACTGGATCACCTGTAGCTATCGTTATTACTCAAACTTATTCATGGGCTTATAGTAATATGGCGTGCAGTAATAGTTTAATTGCTTCAAACGGTTATATTCCATCATATGCAAGAATTGGTACAGATACACTTGCGTGCATAAACAATTGTGGTGCCGGTTCTGCTGGATATTCTAGTCTCGGTGTTCTTCCTCGCTGCACTGATTTTTCGAATGTTGCTGATACTTCTATTGGACAACGTGTAGATATAGTTAATTTAACTATAAATGATGATTTTTCCGTGGCTTACCAAAGTAATTCTTGGCGTTCATTAGCTACAGCTTCAGCTGCGGACTGGTCAATCTCGACACGTATCAATACAATGGTGAGACCTGATAATGGTCTCTATAACAATGCACCTGTAGCTACTATGATGTCTCCAATTAATATTCCTCTCAATCAACCAACTGTAATCAATGTGCCTGTGGCTGATGCTGATGGAGACACTCTTCGTTGTCGATGGTCAACCAAATCAAATGGAGTTAATGAATGTGCTGATGTATGTCCACCAGGTTCACTTCCATCAGGAACAGTCATTTATCCTAACTGTACGATCATTATTACAGGTACTCATTACGATGATTGGTTTGCTATTACACTCATGGTTAGTTTCATTAGCTTTTTTTTACGATGCAACTAGTTTGTTATATATATAGGTAGAAGATTTTATTAATCCAACAACTACAACTGCACTTAGTTCAGTACCTGTTCAGTTTCTGGTTCACGTAGTTGCTCCACCGACGTGTACAACTCCACCTGACATTGCTGGTGTACCCACCGAAGAATCGTGTACGACAGTGATTGTTAATCAACCATACACTTCACAAATACTTGCTATAGATAATTGTGCTCCATCTGTGACTATTGCTGATATTGCTACACTTTCCTTTACTGGTATGGTCAAAAGTAATCTTGGTCAACTAAGCTTGACAGTTTATTACAAAAATTTAACCTGGACACCAACTAGTGCTCAGCTTGGATATCAAGTTATGTGTGCAATGGCAATTGACAGGTTTTCAATCATAATAAATATAACGAAAACAAATTTGTTTTCTGTTTCTGTCTAGTGCAAGTTCACAATCAGCACAATATTGTTTCAACTTTTATGTATCAAATACAGAGGTATGTTCATGTCCTGGTGATCCATGTATTACAACAACGACAACAACGTTAGTAAATTTAAAAATAATATTTTTATTATATTTCTATTCGAATGAATCTCTATTAGGACATCAACAACTTCAACTAGTGCAACGTCTACGTATGTATAATATTATTATCTTATATTTTAGTAAAAATAAATTACTGTTACAATATAGATCAACAACAAGTAGCACGTCAACTACGTAAGCTTTTGACTAAATTTTCTTTCTAATTAATCTTTTCTAATATTTTTAGTTCAACAACATCAACATCTTCAACTACAAGCACTACGTAGGATCTTCTGTTCATATGTTGATCGTGAGTCTTGTTTGACATATTTTTCTAGGTCGACAACGACATCAACGAGTACTACTACAACAACGACAACGACTACTAGTACAGCAACAACAACAACTACTATTACAACGACTACTGCTACAACAACAATACAAAAATGTTTGTAGATAGAATAATTCATTGTCATATATGAAAGTAGCGTCTTCATTTTAGCTGATTCAACTAATTGGCCATTGACTAAAACTATTCTTAGTGTACTCGTTTTTGTTCCTGTAGCTTTGTGGTGTTGTTGGTGTTGCCGTTATTGCTGGTTTGTTTATTTTCTTTTTGAGATTAGATATTCTCGTTGAAAATTATTATTTTTTATTCAATTAGGTTACTTGGTAGTCGTTCATATGGATTAAAAAATGAAGAGAATGAATTCTATCATATCGAACGATGTACTGACTCTGAGTGTCTTGGGTCCAATGAGATGATGTCAACATCTGATATTTTCTCAGTTTCATACAAAAACTATTTTACTTCTAGAGCATGGGACGAGGATACAATTTGTAGCTTGAATACAGTCCAGATTGATCTTGGCAGAGTGTCCTCCACGAAATGTCCTCAGCGGTACGTCCTCGGAAGAATGTCTGTGAGATCAAATGCCTTTCAAATGAAATCTTTTTGAAAAATAGTCTTTAATCATATAATACTCTAATTTCAAAATGTCCTTTCAATAAAAATAAATGACCAACACTTGATGAATATGCTAATAGTGAAGTTCGTTCTGTACCAACGAGTTAAATTGGTGTAGGTATTGATATAAAAGTAGGCGTCGAGGGGAGCTTACACTGCTATTCGCACAAACAACCACCCATCCACACCCACACCCACACCCTAGTCGAAAAGGTCTTGTCGTCCGCTTTTGATATTTTTATTTTTCGACCTTTAAACAGGATGCAAGAAACATATTTTTATCATTGAACAGATTGCTTTTAGCATTTTATAATATAGAATATGACTAGTATGTATATGGTTATACATAGCAGCAAACATAATTTACAAATTTAAAACAACCATTATCACACGCTATCTACAGAATATATATATGCAAACAGCATGTGCGTTTCAGCCAATTACTTCTACTCCACCAATACTTTGAGAAAAAAGAAGAGGATAGAGGGATTTTTTTTCTTTCCTGCAAACTGTTCTCTTTCTTTTTCATCGCATGAGGCAGACATAAAACGAGTAATTTTCTTTTGCATACATCACGTTAGTTACTCAGACATGAAAAGCAGCTGAAGGCCCTATACTATGTGCATAACGATGCATGACTATATAAAACAATGGCAAATGTAATACTTCTTATTCACAAAACCAGTCAGTGAGTTTCGTCAAGCTATACATCAATTATTATTTGTTCTACAATGTCTAATCTCAATCTCAATGCTGTTGCAGCTATTCTGTGTCTTGAAACATTGTGTGGTTGTATTCGTTCGACAGTCGGGCAATACATCTATAAATACTATTTACAAATGTATTCATCGTCTACTACATCAATGTCTTTCAATAGTAGTTCTAATTCTGATATTCATAATTTAAGTACAATTAACCATGATACAAATTGCAGAACGAATGTACATATTGTGACTAGTGGAGCTCAAACATGGGCACAACAGCGTTCGGCCAATCTATTCTTTTGGATCGATCTATCAAATGGTATCCCTATAATTATTGCAACTTATATACTCGGAGTCTACACACCAAGATTAGGCATACGATTAGTAGCTACGCTACCGATGTCAGGCTTAGCTCTTCAAATCAGTATTTGGTTAGCAATTATATATTTTCATTTGTCAGATTACTGGTGGATTATTGGTTCAATTATTGTAGGTCTATCGGGCTCTGCAAGTGTTCTCAGTATAGTAGATCATATTTTTTTCTATTTTGTTTCGTTTATCTTTTTGTTGTATTTATCATGTAGTTTTTGTACTCCATTTGATTGTGACCGATTGTACAACTGAAAGTGAACGTTCGTCTCGTTTTGTTCTTCTCGGTGCAATAACAACGGGTTTATCAGCAGTCGCATCATTTGTGATCGGTTATTATATTAAATGGCGTGGTTTTACTGATCTATTTTGGATAGCTTTGATATTGCAGTTGTTATCAATTGCAGTTGGTCTTCGTTTCATTAAACCGAGTCATTTCATTGTTAAAAATTCAGCTCCGTTAGAGTCTAGAAATCCTTCTTTGCCATCATCGACAGTATGGACCGAATTTTTTGAAGTATTTACTATATTTTCATTTAATCGTCGATCACGTAAAAAATCGATTAGTCTCTATTTAACACTACTGTCTTTTGCATTATACACATTTACGTCGTCATCAATGAGTGTACTTCTTTGGTACCTTCTCAGTGCTCCGTTTTGTTGGTCATCTGAAGAAATCGGAAATTATACAGCTCTGTCTTCGATTGCATCTGCAATTCTACGTTTACTCGGCATGGAAGCGTTCACGAAACTCGGTGCTGGTGATCCATTTATTTGTACTATTGGTCACATTCTGTTTTGTAGTTCAGTTATTTGGATGGCATTTGCTCAACATAACTGGGCCATTTATGTCACATTATTAATCACCCCTTTTACAACATATCAAGGTTCATTGACATGGTCAATGGTATCCAAATGGTTGGAGCCACATGAACGAAGTCATGCGTTCACATTCGTTACAGAAACACACGTGATAATGCTAGCTGCTGGTGGTTCTTTCTTCAATTGGCTCTATGCTCGTACCATAGTGAACCATCGAAGTTTCACGTTTGTACTTGCTGCTAGTCTGAATGTGATTCCGGTTATTCTCAATATGTAAGTATTATCAAATATGTGCTCAAAACTACGTTGTTTCTCTTTATGGTTTAGATATCTTATGTTAGTTACTCGAAAACTAGCCGCTGATGATAAAATTACTCATCTGATAGAAGCAGATTCAGATATTACTCAACTTTTGGAGGCAGATTCGAACATAACTCAAAGTTTTGAGGAGAATCTCAATAGTATGCCACTGATAGAGACAGATGTGGATACAACATTGAGTCAGTCCCAACCGTTACGTAGTAATTCTTTCAAAGTACGATTTATTCATCAATCTCAAACTATTAGTTTATAACCATGCGTTACTGAATACACGTTGTTCCTCTCTATTTTCTTTTCTTTGATATTTTTGTTTCTGTGATTTCTTTTCTACTATTATTGTGATCAGATGTTGTCCTTGTTTCACACATCTCCCGCTCTAGTTCCCAAAGGGACTACGTTAACAAGCACTTTTCGTTCATATCATAGTCACTTCTGTCATACATAAAAAAAATAAATGAATAGGTTAAATTTTCAGTTTCAATCTTGGAATTCTACTAAACTTGATAAAATAATATTTGTGTTATATTACATTTCGTAGAACAACACTCGCTCTACAAAACTGCATAATTCACATCTGTATTTTTTTGTTTTGGTAAGTGATAAACAATGTGACATTTTCTTAGCGTTTTGTAACTATATATTGTAAAACTTCACTCTATGATATTCGTTTTATGTCCCTACGAATTTTATTTGTGCAGCAGATAGAGCAATCAAAAAGCTTCAAAATGATGCTAAAATTAATCGTATAAAGGGTGGCTCTGACATATGTGTGGGTATTATATTCATCTCTCGACCACACGCACATCCACACCCTCACCCACATCATCGCATCAGAGTCAACGCTTGTTGATTCAGCGTTAATTCACCTGTATATTGACTTTGTGTTCTTTTTCTTGCATATTGGAAAAAACCCATTGATGATGGCCAACAAAGTGCTCCATTCTTTATTATCTTATCAATTATTTACTATGCAAGCGAAAGTCGTTATTCAAGTATGCTGTATGCAAAGAAATTGACTTTCCGCGGAATGAAAGCATATACGTGGGGGCGAGAGTTCGCATTGTCACAATATAACAGACACAAAAAAAAGGATTTGTGACTCATAAATTATGAGTCTGTTAAACTGTTCTTTCCTTTTTAATGGGATTTTTTCATGTAAACTCATAATTATTCATTCTTCTTCCGTTCTCTTTTTATTTTTATCTGTTCCTATGCATTGCAACATTTCATACTATTTAAAGTAGGAAGAACAAGAGAAATTCACAAAAGAGTGTTTTAGCGATAAAGATGGCCGGTCATATTAGACAGTACCATACATGCACTATAATTATAACAGTTATTTTATTATTGATTGATTCAAATTTATTATGCAATTCAATTCGACTCGAATATCGTCCTTCATTGGGTCAACTATTTACGTATTCAGAAGTCGAAGTTATTGAAGTATCTGATCCCGATGAAGATATTGATTATAGTATTCAACTCATGAAAACGATTCACACGGAACGAATTGTTGATGTGAATGAATTGGAAGATGGTATTATCACTATTGAATTACAGTTCACTTCGGTTGAGATAACACCACCAAATGAAAGTCTGAAAAGAAATCTTCTTGCCTCTTCTCATCGTATCAAAATCAATCGTTACGGTATGATGCAGGGTGCCCTTGCATCAGCACTTGTCGGCGATGTCAATAATGTTTTTCCATTACATGACGTTGACGTAGGAGATTCATGGACAACAACTGTGGACGGATTAGCAAAGGTGAATACACGATATACACTTGTTAGCGTTGATGAAAATCTCGTGGCCACCATCGATAGTCAAGCGACCATTAATGTCTTAGAAGGTTTGGGTACCGCTACCGCCTCTGTTACGTTGGAAATAGATTCAAGAACTGGTGTAACTATTACACGAGAGGACACCCGCATTTTACAGGTTTTTTCAAAACGCACAGTTAAGACAAAAAGCAGAAAACTTATTGCACAAGAATAATTCTTCATTGTTTTCCAATAATAAACATGAGTTCATCTAAAATATTTTAAGAAATATAGGTGTGAGTGGGTGTGGATTTTGGGCAGCTGTGAGTATGATACTCATGTTGAACAGCCACACTCATATCCAGATCCTTCTTTTTCTGAATGCTCAATATACCATGCTTATGTTGTTTTTTTTTAAATAAAATTTTCATATTATTTATTTTTAACCGATGTAGTTGAATAAATTCTAAACATACCTGAAGAATGATAGGCAGTCTCTGCCAAAACATGCCGTATGATACTTTAAACTCATATATCTTATTCGCAAACATACTCTCAATATGGTTTCCAAAGGATTGCGTTTCTATATTATTTTCTATAGTTTCTACTGAATCAAGAAGTTTTCTTATTAAAGAGAATAAATAACGTAGTTTCTCTTTCACTGTAAAATATAAGATTCTGACGACATCACAGAGAATTGTTTCAGTACAATAAAATACAATTAAGATTTTGTGACAATACAATTTTAGCATTTTGTTATAATACAACAGAAACAAAGAAACTTGTAGGCATAATTGATTTTAAGAAGTGCCTGATTGTTTTAATCGAACAATTGTGAATTTGTAAGGGGTGAGCAGTGGTCGATGGTGGTAATAGAACGAGGGCGTGGGTGTTGTTTTTATCTTACACCCACCCTCAAGAACAGACAACAAAATTTTTTTGTCAATAATTATTTCAAAACCTATATTGATCATCATCAAAATTAATATTGATTTATGAACATTGGTGATTAAATTTCTTCATTTAATTTGTGGACATTCGTAGAAGGAAAAAACTTTCTTCTTGTTAAACTTCATCATCTTTCGACAGACTTGTTATTAAACAAAATAAAATATGATGATGATAAGATGAAAATATTTACTGTAGAAAAAAAGAATAAACATCATTTTTCTATTACATTGAGAATAAGTTTAATTTCCTATTAAAAATAAATGAGTTTTTACCAATAAAAGTTTTGATGGCTATCGTATCTAAATTATTTTCTAAGAGCAAAAAAAAACATTAGAAAAGGAAAGTTCCTGTTAAACTATCAAATAAATAATAATATAAACGTATCTACTAGTTGGCATCGCAATTACTTCAGTAAATGTGAGTGTGAATCAGATTTGTTAAATCAAAAGTTTATAAAAATAACATCGACCATTCTTCATGGCATCGTCTACCGAAGAAAATTTCTCTTTGTATTATACAACAATTCAAAATCGATTATATGGCATAATTGGTCCTATCTTAATTGGTCTTGGCAGTATAGGCGCCATTCTTAGCTGCTGTGTATTTGCTCAAAAGACAATGCGAACAAATCCATGCTCCATTTATTTCATTGCATTTAACGTAGCCAACTTTCTCATGTTATTATGCGGATTGTTACCACCGATTTTATTGTATACCATCAACGTTGATCCTTCATCATACAATGTTCCGTATTGCAAAATACACTTTTATATGGCAATAGTACCTGCTTTCCTTTCACCATCTTATCTGGTTTTAGCGTCGATCGATCGAGCTCTTATCACATCGATTAATGCATTAATACGACAGAAAAGTACGCGTCGCTTAGCCTATTGGTCCATTGGTGGAATCACACTCTTTAGCTTATTCTTCTTCAGTCATATTTTTGTACGTGTTAACATTCATGAGCTTTATCCAGGCGTTGTCTTATGCTTCTATGATGCGGGAAATTATAGAACATTTGTTACGTATAGTGGACTTATACTCAGCAATCTTCTTCCACCACTTTTCATGGGAGTTTTTGCTCTAATAACATTAAAAAACATCCGTCGAATACGCATTCGTCCAATGAATCATGACGCACCTACAATAAACAGTCATCGATTCAGAGATCGTCAATTAGCAATTATGCTCCTAAGCGAAATATTTGTTTATATTCTCTGTTGCTCTATGTTACCTATTATTCAGATCTACACGCAAAGTACACAATATCAAACTAAGAATGATCATCAGCAAGCACTCGAACCGTTTCTGTATGGTCTAGCATATTTATTATCTTTCATCCCAGTTTCTATCCATTTCTATATAAATTTGGCTATATCAAAAACTTTTCGTCAGAAAACGATTCAGATGTTATTTCAACTATGCCAATGTTGCTCTTTTCAAGGCAACAATCGTCAAGGCGCATTAGTGGTAATAACTATAAACAAATCAACTGCTTGAACAATAACAGTATATATTGTATAGTGTTGTATTCTTCTACATATCTTGAGGGTGTGGGTGTGTGATACGAACAACTCCCACACCCACAACAACACTTAACTATCTACACCCACCAGTATTATCTGGTTTTTGTAACCATCTTAAACAAAATGTTGTATTTTTCGACATCAAAAAATATTTAGTTTAAGGGATACATTTTTCAAAATCAAATCAATATAAGATAATAGTTGTCTTATATATGCAGAGAATAATTACACAGAATAAAAGTATGACAAAAGAAGAGAACGAAAAGTATATAAATTTGAATAAAAGAATAAGCTTATATATGATTCACACTGTTTTAAACAGTTTTATTGCTTACTTGTAGCAATCCGTATTTTGATTGTTACAAGCTGTTATTATTGCACTTTCTCTGACGTCAATTTTACTCGAGAAAAGCAATATTAGAAAAAAATTCACCATTCCTGACTTTATGGAAATTCCTGATTAACAAGAAAATGTCCTGTCTACTTTCCTGACTTTAGAATACATGCCGCTGGGACCCCTGCCAGCATTTATAAACATATTTAATATATTTCGTCGCTGTATTCTATCATCTATTTTAGTTGCTATTGTGCTGCGGAATTTCTTATCCTTTGAACTGAGTTTAAAAACTCGGTAATTCACTCATTAGATAAACAACTTTGTCTGATATACGCCTTCATAAAAATGATTTCTTTTCATCTAGATTTTATTTAAAAAACGTTAATTATATATTCAGTTTTTATATATACAAATAGCTTGAATACTATTGCTAATGATGTTATAATAATGTTAAAAAATAAAAAATTTTTATTGTTTTTTTTTCTCATCTAACCGAAATCTTTATAAGGCAGAATAATCTTGATTACTTCTCAGTTGATACAGTCAAATATACTCGTTTGTAAGTATAACAATACACAATTTGTTTTTCTTTAATATTCCTATATCACTAAATAAAAGATACATACATAGATGATACAACAATTACCTCAGTTACGAGTACGGAATTTTCTCATTTGATTTTCATTTACATTCCCATGAACTATTAAAAGATCAAAAGGAATAATTCTTTTTACGTCATTTACTTCATGTTTAATTCATTATTTTTTAATTAATGCTAAAAAATGACTGAAACGTGCTGTATCCGACAGTTTCTATTAAAATTAAGTTTGTTGATAATTAAGATCAGCATTTTACTGTTGTTGACAAATCAAGAATTAGATATTTTGTATTTGACAAAACATCATTCAAATACACATAGAAATATATTTCATCATTTCAGTTGCAGTATGACAGAAAAAAAAACAAGATTTTATGTTAATTAGTTTTTTTTAAAGAATTCATCAGTTGAAATTGTACTCATTGTTACAAGTGATGTATATTAACTATCCGAGAAACCTTTGCTTAAAACAGTTAGGATAGATCAACTGCTTTTATATGAAAACATACCCTCCCCTAAATAGAGAATAAAAAAAATTAGACATTTCATTTTTATGAGCTGAATTGTAGAAATAGAATATTCAGAATATTTATAATTTCATTGTTTAATCTGTTGTGTCGTGTGATCAATTGAATGACTAATACCCAGTAGTATTTAAGATTCTCAAAACATTTTTTAATGTTAAGACATTGTCTCACTTTGCATTTATTGATTTTATTTGTAGAACTACAATAAATAACATGGTTGACATCGAAACAGCAGCTAATACAACTGCGTTTGTTATTTGGCATTGCCTTTTGTTCTCCTTTATTCTTGGTATAATTGGTCATTTGCTTAATTTCTACGTACTTACTCGACGCAATCTTCGTTCGAGCCCATGTGCTCTCTATTTTCTTGCAGCAAGTGCGGCTGCCTGTGTTGTTGTATGGATTATGCTTCCTTTGCGTGTCCTACAATATGCTTATAATATTGATCCGACTTATTATTCTGAACCCATCTGCAAAATAGAGTATTATCTAAATAATGTGACTAGGTAAGGATAATTGAATTCTATCTACAAATAATATGTTGATCTAATCGGTTTTATTCAAGTCAGTTCGAAAACCATATTTTAAGGTTATACTTCTTTCTTTTACATATCCACGCACATTTAAAACATCGTGTTGTAACATCTAATTTTCAATGTAACTTCATCAACGTTTTGTGTTCTAACACAAAAGTAAAACTAAGAGTAGAATTAGTTTTAAATTTCATGGAATATAGTCTTGAAAATATCACCATTAAAATTCTCTATGTTTGATAAACTCAAGGAAAATAATTTTATATTGTTATTTTCAGTAAATCTCATGTATTTTATAGAGCTATGGCTTCTTGGTTTCTTGGTTTGGCTTGTATGGATCGATACTTCTGCAGTTCAAGCAATGCTCGTATGCGTCGCTACAGTAGTGTACGCATTGCTCGAATCATTATAATAGTGTTCACGTTGACCATGTTCCTAATTCATATTCATGTAGCTGTCTATAATATCATTGGTATTGGTCGTACTCCCATACCCTTCAATCAAGTGCAATCAGTGTGTTATACTGTAAGCGGCTTTTATACAATCTTTGGTATCTATTGGTTTTTCATTGTTTATGCTATATGTCCACCTGTTCTCATGCTTGTTTTTGGTTCACTTACTTTATTCAATATACATCAACGTCGCAAACAAATTCTACCTAATACATCCGAAGTCAGTAATCGCAATAGAGAGAAAACTTCGAGACAAATGTTAATCATGCTCATTGTACAATGTGTTTTCATGACTGTTTGTACCACACCATTAGCTATACAACGTATTTATCTCAACATTACGTCAACACAACAAAAGAGCTTAACACAGAAAACATTAGATCAATTATATTCTACTATTGTCATTTTTCTTGGCTTTGTTGGACATTCACTTACCTTTTATATCTTTACTCTTTCTGGATCTGTATTTCGAGATGAAGTAAAAAAATTGATTACGAAAGTTCCTGGATGCAAACGAATCTTTGCTACAATGCGTATACAAGCAACAACCAATGGGATTCCGTTAGCTTCACTTGAACAAAGAAATATGACAATATTACGAAAGCATCAGACAACTAGAGTAGCAGTTGTATCAATCAATGAATGATTCTAATAAATAATATTTCTTTTCTAAATATTTAAAATAGATGTTGTAATGTATTTGTTGTCCTGTCACGTAAACTCATCATTTTACACACAAAAAAAATTATATTATGTTTTAAATAAACTTCTTACGAGAGTCAACGATTCGTGTGTGCTCTTTAAAAAATTTTCTTTTATTATCTCGCTAATCTTAATAATACAAAAGAAACTTCCATTGATTGATTAACAATGTTATATCTTCAAAAGACCTTTCAAACTCGAAGATAAATAGCAAGAATTATAGATGAGTGTGAATACTATCCAAGGATCCGATTAGGGAAGCTAGTAGATTTTTATCAATGTTTGAGAAGTATTAGAAGGTGTTAGCATACTTTACAGATACTCCAATTAAATAGCATATTACAATTCGGTTTGAGACAGAAAGACAAAAAAGTCAAATTTAGCTCATATAATTATAAGACAGAAACGGAGTAGCATTAAAATAGATAGTAAGTAGTATCAATAATCTCTCAAGTAATTTTAGGTTTGCAGCTCTTTCTATTTCCTGCACAATTCGCTTCGTATCAAAATATTTAACGAAAATAACACTGTAATTGTACATGCTTTTACTAGTTATTATGCATTTAAGTTTTAGGTGTTTTAACACGTTTTTTTTATTGATTTCTACTGCATGGGTGTGTGTGTGGGTGTTGTTTTTATCTTACACCGACACTCACACCCTCGTCAACCGCATTTCTATCTAATAGTTGATATATTTATATGAAAAATTTGTTGTAGATAACTGTTTAATCGCTTAAAAATTTCGTTTCGAATTTAATCAAATATTATAAACATATATGTACAAGCGTGTGATTTCTCCTATCTTGTACAATTTTTTTTCATAAGACATCGTTTTTTTATTTATTTTTCATTTGAACACGTGTCATATGTGAGAGGAATAAATGTAACTATGATATACGTTGGATGCTATTTACAAAGAACGCAAAATGGGATGAAGGTAAGAGAAATAACGAAAAAAAAACGATGTCTTACGTAGTACAAGTACTCATTTCAACGCGTTAAAAAAAATTTTTTTTGAGAGAACAGAACGGATAGGTGAGAGTTAATGTTTTAAAGCATGTTTTTCTTCTAGATTAATTCAAACATACGATTTCTCAACGTAAAAAATGTCTTTTATTTGTTGCCATTGAATAGCTATCATGCAAACAACTGCCAGTCAACGCATCATAAATTCTACAATACTCTGTCCTTCATGTTTCTATGGTTCGATCTGCCAGTTTACTACATCATACTACAGTATCTCGCTTGAAATTCTTCTCAATACATCTTGTCTATCCAGAGGAATCATTGCTCTCATCCTTGTTATTTTTTTCATCAGCACGATATTCAATATTTTGTCTTTGGCTACATTTTATCAAGCAAAACAGGGAAGAGGCAATCGAATCTATCGATTGTGGATTACAATTATAGGACAATTGGGTACAACAATATTTATTCTTCGTCTACTGCTCATCATTGTTAGACGAAGAAGTGGAATTATTGAATGTTTTTCTCTCGATTATTTGATTTCTGTTCTACCGGCATTGTATAATTCCTTGACAACATGTGTATTTATCGAACAAGTCGTTGTCGCCTATAAAAATTTATCTTTCAATAAAGAAAATAGTCGACACACAGCGACTATTGTTATTCCAACGCTCATACTTTATCACTTGCTTATACATCTTTACAAACCATTCTATCGACAACTACTCGTTGATCCGCACTTATCAACTCGTTTTTGGTGTTCTCTTTATTTTCAAAGTGGTTTCTTCAGCAGTTTTGAAAAAATAATAAACATTATTCATCTCGTTCTCCCTATTGTCCTAAATTTTTGTACACCTATTCTTCTGCTCATTATTCTTACCAAACATAGAATGGCTTCGAAAGACAATGCAAGACTTTGGTCAACCTTCAAAGAAGTATTATGTACGTATAAAACTAATGTTATCATTCCCTACGTTCTTGTTATCTTGTGGATTCCTCATCTTATTGTCGCATTTTATTTGAATTGTGTTACACAATCTTGGCAAAATACAATTTATCTTGTTGCTTATCTAATCTCGTTAATACCATTGATAACAACTTTTTTTATCTTCGTTCTACCTTCACCAACATTCAGAGAAGAACTATACAAAATATGTCAACGTTCTATCTCTTATATGCCTTTGAGACGGTATTAATAAACATTAGTTTCATTGTTGAATGTTTATATGGTTGCTCATAATAAATACATTTATTTTTTACAAAAAATTCATACAAAGGATATAAATAGTCAGTTTTCATGTAGCGGATGATCTTGACCGTAAGTGTAGGTAAAGAATTGTATATGTGGATAGGTTTATACATTAAGATCGGGGTGCCTGTAAGTGTCTGTCTGCACATGGACATACTACTCATTCGAAAGAATAGATGTCAATAAACCAAGGATCGAGTAAATATTTTGCGAAATGAAATTTTCTCTTTATAGTTAAATCTATCTGTCGATAAGTATCAATCGATTAGCCACTCTTTCTGCAGACAATATTTTTGAAGTTTTTTTTTTCTTTTTATTCTATTTTGCTTGATTGTTTGGCAACCAGATTAAACAATACAAACTGATCGGCAATGTTTTAGTTATTCTGCCAGAGTTTTGCAAGATTTCGTATTCTTCAATTAAAAAGCACATGTATAATGTATTAAAAATAAAATTCTCGACGTTCGCCGTCAATAAACAGAGTAGCAGTGATTTCAGCTTCAGACAAAAACAAAAAGTGCATCGAATTCAATTAAAAAAGTAAGATTACGTGGCAGATCATAATAGAATCTAGTTAAGTTCGGAATAGCGGTTTGTAAATTTAAACTAAGTAATTTATATGATACTTAAAATAGAGAATGCATTGTCTATATATGATTCCATTTATTCATGGTTGTCATTTATTTGAAAATAGAAGAATATGTAGATTATTAATATATTTATAAACAATAATAGCATGGTTACATATTTTTATAATAGTTTGTTTTTTAGTATCAGGATATGAGAATCTCAATGATTGGTCAGATTTGAAAAATTGCTAAAAAGTTTGTCGTTCGCTCGGTTGTCACAAACATACACTATAAAAAGCTTCTCTACGATTCTAATCAGTAGATTTAGTGAAGTCTTGTATAAGTAAAATATTTTATATCATTAGTAGAATTACATTTTTGAATCGTATAAAAAGTATCTAAGGATATTGCAGAAAAAGAAAATACAATGCAAAAAATACTCACTCTCGCTTGTTATTTTAGATACTAGACTAGAAGTAAAATGTCGCTTTCTCGACTTGAAGATTTGCCAAATGAAGTTGTCAGACAAGTTTTTGCCGAACTATCGCCAAAAGATTTACTTAAAGGTTGGTGGAATTTGAATATTCGATTAAATAGACTTATTTTCTCGCTTAACTACAAAATCTACCTGATCAACAGACGTGTTACCTCAAATGATTTGCAAGCAGCCATATTTTTACGTCAACAAGTCACTGAACTTGTGGTCACAGAAAAATGGTCTACGGTTATTGATTACTTTCCAAATATACGAATACTTCGAGTCTTAGGCTTAGCATATCCATATTCAATCTCACAAATCAAACCAACAAAATTAACTCGTTTAACTTGCATGGAAGTTAGTGAAGATGACTTCGATTGGAATAACTTTATGGGAGCGAACAATTGCCACTACGCTAAACAAATGGTCCGATGTTACGCCAGAAAATTGATTAGTCTGCCAACTATTTCTTGTGAGACACTTCGCTCTATTGAGATAACATTATGTACAAGTGAGCGAGTGGCTGCACTTCTACGTCTCGTACCAAATTTGACTGATATGTCAATTGGTCTATACACCGATATCTCAATTAATTTTAGTGGTTTGCAACTGGTCGGTATTTCTACAACATCTGAACAAAACGAAAATCCATCATTCACTCCAACTCCAACGCATCATTTTGATGGTATTGTCCATCATCAACTACGTCGAATCGCACTCTCTTTCGAATGTCAAACAACTTTACAGTGGCTTGATACCTTTCTTCTCTCTGTTCCCAACGTTACCAACTTCAGTCTCTATATTGCACGGTCATACGAGGTCCTTTCATTTGTCGAATTACATCGTATTATCACTCAACGTCTTCCAAAACTAATTCAACAAAAATTTCATTTCAGTTATAGTTGTCCTCCGAAACCATTCGATCTTGAACAGCATCGCAATATCGGACCATTATTTCAAACTATGATCACTGATATGTACGAACATTATCGTCTCAAATTATTAACTATAAATGTGAACTGGAAGGACACTCATAATCAATACGATTATTATGAGGATGATGACGACGATGACGATTACGATGATGACGGAAATGACTAGAAATAAAAATACGAACACAGTTCTGTCGCACTTTTCCTATATAGCCGATGATTATACTTCTCTCATAGTTTATTTAAAAAAAAGAGACTTTTAAAATAATATGTAGCTACGAAAAGATTTAAGTTATTGTTCTTCGTCATGTAATTAGCTGTTCAAAAAAAATGAACACCCTTGTAACATATAGTCATAACTATTTGAACAGTATGATAGTTACCTAGTAATGATGATATCTAATACACTGATAGTATATCCTCATTTAAGAAATATCAAGTAGTTCGGAAAGTCCGTGCAATTTATGTATTGTGGAGTCGAAGTTTATAACGGATGCTGTATTTATTATTCGGCGGTGCCTTAATATATGAGTTAAACGGACTTCCCAATCGGTTTGATAAATAACTATCATATTGAATCACTGATCACAATAGTCGATAATTAATGTTATCTGAATAAATAAGTTCATTATACAATATACTTAATATATTCTATATCACAGGTTTTTATTCTACTAATTGAACTAATAATATAATAAATATGACACAGCACAACAAGAAATGAAAGCAAAGAAAACAGCTCAGATTATAATTAATCTTTTTTCTAATAAAATATATTTTTTACAAGCAAATCATCTCATTGGAATTAAACCTGGAACACCTTCACCTCTAATTGTGATTCGATTATGTTGAAATATTTTAAAAATAATGTTTTTGAGTTGAGGCGTAAAAACACTCGTGAATAAAGTTAATCCAAACATTGATAAACTAACAAAAAACCATTCGATACGCATAAGAAGTGGATATTCTTTACCTGTGATAAATAACATTATTAAAAGAATAATAGCTGGAATTCCAAGTGCTAATAATAAACAAATTGTTATTACAATACGTCGAATAACACATAAATCTCGATCTTGTCGTTGTTTAATTAAAAGTCTTTGATTACTTGTTTGTCGACGAAGAAATATTGTTATATGTAAATACATTAATGCTAAGAATATTATTGGAATTCCATAACAAATAAATGCAAGCCAAATAATACTACGGAAATTAATATATGGAACATAACAATAATATTCTGTTGTTAAATATTCAACATCATGCCAAAAATATGTTGGACTTGTTAGAAGACAAATTAAAATAAATTGAATAGGAAATATACTAAGATATAGATACAAATGTTGAAAGAATCTTTTCGTTGAATATACAATTCGACAAAGTCGAAAGAAAGCCTACAAAATAGAAAATATGAAAATAAAATTCTTATTAATTCATTGATAATTACTTGATCAACAAAACTCCAATACAAAGTAGCGAGAATAACAGGAGAAAAATAACCTAAGAATATACACCATGATGAATTGAAATTATATCCATATAAATCGCCTAATAATGTTTCAATATTAAAATAAATTGTTATTCCTGTGTAAATCAAAATAACTAAATCGATATTAATACAATAAACAATAGTTATTTTATCTTCTTGTTTAATACGTTTTGAATAAATATTATACATTAGACAAATCAAAATAAATAATGAGTAGAAATATGCAAATACATCAATACTCAATGTCATTATATTCAGTACAAATCCAGTTTGATTAAACATATTTTTTAGAAGTTTGTTGCACTAAAGAATCAACTATGTTCTTACATACAAAAATGAGTCTTTTTTTATAATATCTATAGAAAATTTAATGCATTTTAAATAATTAAAAAAAATCTGTAAAAAGAATTCTATTCATTGACATAATTTTATAAAATGTTCTTATCTTTCTTTTCTTTAGTCTTCGAGGCCAAAAGGTAAATTATTTTAGTGAGGATGTCAAAAAGACATCTCGTCAAAGATATGAATTAACTTTGACAAGAATGAAAAATAATAAAATAATTCTAAAAAGCTCACAGAAGATTTCTATTTTACTAAATATAGAGACGACAAAGACAAGTCACGTTTCCGACTTCATATTACTATTATGTCTATAAAAAGTATCTGACAAGACACAAAAACAAAATTTATTTATAAATAAAAAATTAGTTTTCTACTTATTTATATGAACCTTAGTAGTATACAATCACACTTGATGTTCACTATTGTTTTCAAACTCCTGTATAACAATATAACTATTTGTTTTTATTTTATAAACATACTGGTTTAGATATTACAAATTCTGATTCAATTAACTTTAACACGCATATAAAAGACTGATATGTATTTAAGAATGATGAAGATATGTCACAAAAATTCATACATTTATATTTACTGTAGTATATGAATGACAAATAATGATTAATTCCTTATATCTTATAACTTTATAGATTGTAATATTGTTCGTTACTATTCATAGTATTTTATTTTATAAGAAAAATTTATCAATAGATAAAAACTATTCTTATAAAATTATATTCTAATCGTCGAAATTATAAATCGAGCAATGACAATCTCATTGTACATTAAGTTATTGAAATTTTAAAATAGATTCTTTTTTGAGATATTGACATATATAATATCTATATCATTAAATATATTTCTTTTATTTTCAACAAAAGAATATTTAATCGTTAAATATATTGAATTTAGACACAAAGAGGTGTTCTTACTAATAATAAATCCTTTTGTATTTTTCAGTTATATTTATTCAATTTTCTCTTCTTGAATATGTTTTATATAGTAATTATAAAAATAAATTAATAACAAACATCTCATTTTCTCTAAATCATTTGGATCATCTGATTTTTCAATATTTTTCTTCATTCATCAATGTATATGGAACGCACAGGCTTGCAAATGATTGCTTCTCTCGATCTCTATTTCTATCAGTATTAATTTAATAGAATATACTTTTAAAAATATATAATTATTGATTAAAGCTTATATGACTTGTTTGACTGTGCCATTTAAAATAAAATTCATTGTGAACTAATTGATTCAATAGTTTAAGAAAGATTTTTAAGTAAATATTTCATATGATCTATGCACATATTGATATTAAATAGTAAATAATCTAAACTATTTGTTTCAAACAAATAAATGGATTTTCTTGATCATCTATCGAACCAGAAGATGACTTTGAAATTTTTGTAGTTCTTTTATTTTATATTTTCATATCCATTATCTATATTCACCACGAGTCTTACCACTACCCTGATATTTAATTTGAGCATCGTACATATTATATATCTCTAAATAAAGCCAGAAATATATATATATAACTATAATTAATGAATATTCCATTAAAATTCAATCAAGAAAAAACTTAATTGTATGGATCATCACGTTTCTCACCTTTTTTCGATGTACATACTTTTTTTTGCATTTCTTTCTCCAAACCAGTAATTACACCATGCTCAGAAATCTATGACACATTATTAACATCGAATCATTTAAGACGAAGGAAAGCAAATAAGAACACGTTACACAACCCACATTTCAACCACTTTCATCCATGTCGAATAAAATAAGCGTTTCTTTTTTTACTCTACCGGTGGAACTTTTCTACCGAGTTCTGGACCATCTGGACGATATTACAATGATATGTTCGATGCGAAACGTATGTCAACGGTTCGACAGAATCGTAGATAGTTATCACCGTTATCAGGTAAAATTTTTATCGATTAGTTTCTTATTGTTCATTCATATATAATATAGTCTCATAGAATAATTTTGATCATATATATATATATGAGTTATTCAAGTTGCCAATTAATCTCTTATGAAAAGTTTTTTGCAACACTAAAGCTGTGAAATAGTATATTTGTTGTTTCAGATACTGATCTTGATATGAATAGAACTTTTTTTAGAATTTTGCTTACGTGAATCTCAAAAACTTTTTATGAGAGATACCATATGATCATGATATATCGTTAATAGAGTTCTAAACGTTTCACACATTCTATATCCTTCTGTCTATCTGTATCTACGGAAATGTTTTATTATGAAAATGGAATCAAAGGGATGCAATGATATTTCGTACGAATTATCTGAAAGCATCATTTTATAGCAAAGGAACTCTTCTGATGTTCTTCTTTAATATTATACGTCGCTAAGTAATTTAGTTCCTCATCAAAAACACTTTTCTATATCATATGACTCTAAATAATACACAGACTGCCGTTGTATTAGAAATATGTGACTATAAATCGATTAATTTTAGCCTCTTGTCAAACAGCATTCTTATTATTACAAAACGATAACAAACTGCATAGACATTTCATATAGTATGTTTTAAGATTTCCATTCCAAGATTAGTCAAACACTTTTTTATACTCGAATTACAAACTATAAGGTCGATACTGTTGTTTTACTTAAATCAGCAAACAAAATTAACAGCCAAAACTCTCGTCACTTGTCTCATATTCTTGTTCTTTCTCTCACACAGACACTCACTACACTTACTCTCGAAAAGAACAACATTGGAAATGCAGGAGCACAACATCTGGCTGACGCCTTACGATTGAATACGGTGAGAGAAAGAGTATCTTTCTTTGTCTTATCTTCTTGTTCTCTCTTTTAAACAGACACTCACCACACTCGACCTTGCATACAATAGAATTGGAGATACAGGAGCAAAACATTTGGGTAATGCCTTACGAGTGAATACGGTAAGAGAAAGAGTCTCTTCATTTGTCTCATCTTCTGATTTATTTTTTCATACAGGCACTCACCACCGTCAACCTCAGAGTGAATCGAATTGAATTCGAAGGAGCACACTATCTGGCTGATGCTTTGCAAGTTAATAAGGTAGGAGAACGAGTCTTTTCGTTTGTCTCATCTTCTTGTTTATTCTTTCACACAGACACTCACTACACTCAACCTCAGAGTGAATCGAATTGAATTCGAAGGAGCACAATAGCTGGCTGATGCCGTACGAGTGAATAAGGTGGGGAAATGAGTCTTTTTATTTGTTTCATCTTCTTGTTCGTCCTCTTAAACAGACACTTACCACACTCGACCTCGCATACAATGGAATTGGAGATCCAGGAGTACAATATTTGGGTGATGCCTTACGAGTGAACAGGGTGAGAGAAACAGTTTCTTCGATTACATCATTTTGTTTGTTCTTTCACACAGACACGCACTACACTCAACCTCAGAGTGAATGCAATTGGAGTCGAAGGAGCACAATATCTGGCTGATGCGTTACAAGTTAATAGAGTAGGAGAATGAGTCTCTTCATTTGTCTCATCTTCTTGTTTGTCCTTTCACACAGACACTCACCACACTCAACCTCCAAATGAATATAATGGGAGATGCAGGGGCACAATATCTGGCTGATGCCTTACAAGTGAATACGGTGAGAGAAAGAGTCTCCTCATTTGTTTTATCTTCGCGTTTGTTCTTTCAAACAGACACTCACAACACTCAATCTCGGAGCGAATCTAATGGGAGATGCAGGGGCGCAATATTTGGGTAATGCCTTGCGAGTGAATACGGTGAGAGAAAGTGCCTCTTCATTTGCTTTATCTTCGCGTTTGTTCTTTCATACAGGCACTCACCACACTCAATCTTTTTGGGAATGAAATTGCAGATGCAGGTGCACAACATCTGGGTGATGCCTTACGCGTGAACACGGTGATAGAGAGAGCTTCTTCATTTGTCTCATCTTCGCGTTTGTTCTTTCACACAGACACTCACTACATTTAATCTCGGAATGAATGCAATTGGAGTCGAAGGAATACAATATTTGGCTGATGCCTTACGAATGAACACGGTGAAAGAGAGAGCTTCTTCATTTGTCTCATCTTCTTGTTTATTTTTTCACCCAGACATTCACCACACTCAATCTTTTTGGGAATGAAATTGCAGATGTAGGGACACAATATTTGTGCGATGCTTTGCAAGTAAATACGGTAAAAGAAAGAGCTTTTCCATTTATCTCATCTTCCTGTTTCTGTTTTCACACAGACACTAACCAACCTCGATCTCGGACGAAATCAAATTGGAGATGCGGGAGCCAAACATTTGATTGATGTATTACGAGTGAATACAGTGAGAGAAAGAGCCTTTCCATTTGTTTCATCTTCACGTTTGTTCTTTCACACAGACACTCACTACACTCAACTTCGAATATAATGCAATTGAACGCGAAGTATACCAGACTATGAAGCAATTGAAAGATAATACGACAGTTTTAAAGATGTCACTTTGAGTGAGGTTTTGGAAAGGATTTGTTTTTTTCGTTTCGGAAATTTTTGGTCGAAATAAAGGAATAAAAATACTTTTGAGAGTGGGTGTATGTGTGGATATAATGGTAATAAATCAACGGCACTCACACCGACTCTTATGATAAAAACTACTTCTTTTTCTGATTTTGTTTATTCAAGTTAAAATGAATTACAATTTTTTTCGTATTTCTTCAACTAGATTTCGATATTCTATGAAGCGTGGATGATTATCAATTAGTTTTCCTTGAATCATTCCAATAGCGAGTTCAGCATGTTCCATTGCTGTGTTGTACTCATGAGTAGAATTATAAACTTTAGCTATATTGTTATGTGTAATTGCCAGATCGGGATGATTTTCAGGAAGTGTCTGTTGGAAGATTTCAAGCGCTTTCTGATGATAAAAAAGTGCTTTCGAGAATTCTTTCATCTTGGCATACACCAAGCCGATGTTGTCATGACTCATAGCCACATATGGATGATTTGGAGGAAGAGATTTAAGTAAAATTTGAAGCGATTTTTCATGGGATGAAAGTGATTTTGTATATTGCTCCATCTTCGAATATTCTTCAGCAATATTGTTATAGCTCTCAGCCAAATCAGGATGATTTGAAGGAAGAAAATTTGTTCGGATTTCAAGCGCTCTTTGATAGGAAAAAATTGCTTTGGAGTGGTCTTCCATGTTATGATACACCTCACCGATATTGTTATAGCTTTCAGCCAAGTCAAGATGATGTGAACTGAGAGATCGTAGTCGGATTTCAAGCGCCTTTTTATGCCATGAAAGTGCTTTCGTGTATTCTCCCGTGCTGTTGTACATCAAGCCGATACTATTATAGCTAGTACCCCAATCAGGATGAGTCGAAGGAAGATATTTTTTCTTCGATTTGAGTGATTTTTCATAGTACTGTATTGCATCATCATATTCTGCTTTGTTGACTTTTATTGAGCCAAGTTGATTATATAAAAACGAAAGTTCTTCGTGAGCATCAAACAATGTCGCTTCGACTAGCATCCGATAAACTTCTTCGGCTTTATTAAAATTTCCAGTTTTAATCATCAATTTACCGAGTCGATGCCAGCCTGTTGATCCAACCACTTCTTCTCGCATACGTGTCGTAAGAATACTAAGCTGTGGATCGGTATCCGATGTCAATGTCAGTTTCACATCCCATATACGATTTTCTAATTGTTTGAATTCACCAATTCGAAAAACAGAGTGCATAGAGAATAGAACTTCTTCTTCAGATTCCTGATAGTAGCTCACATCGTCGATTTGTGCAAATGGTGTCGATAGGACCGATGGATCAACTGTAATTTGAAAGAGAACGCCAATCAATTCAGGCCTGTTAAGAGTAGTAGTAGTAACGAATTCAAAGGAAACCTCTCGATTTCTACTCGTAGATAAGAAATTATTGAATGATAGAAGACCTCTCTGAGTGTTGATCATTTTGTCGAAATCACTCTTAATCATACCCTGTCCTCGATAGAGCATAAATGGACTTTGTTGACTTTGAAATTGTTTTGAATGAAGTTCTTCTATATGCTCATGAATGTCTCGAACGAAAAATCCCATTTTGACGATAACATTCACATCTAATGTGCGTAGAGCACGATTGAGCATTTGATATGTAAAACCTTCAAGAGTATACCACCATATGGGAGTGTGTTGATGATATTCTTGTTCGAACTGATCAATAATTTCCAATTGTGAATCGTTATCTTTGTACTTTTCTCGACAGTCGTCGGTCAATTCTTTAACGGCTTGATCACTATAATTGAGTTCTAAAAGAATTTCTTTGAGTAATGTTGAATACATGAACGTTGGTTCGAGTTGATCCAAATCTTGATATGCTGATGCATCATGATTCATTGATACAAAACTCATTGGAATCAAATCTTGATTTCGTTGATTAATGTATTGTTTGAGTGAATCACAAATCTGTTGAATATTCGTGTAAATACCATTAACTTTCGACCATTTTTTATCGCTTTGTTCATGATCCATAGTATTGACACAAAAAATATAGATCCATTTAATACATGATATATCATGAATTTTCGGCACGAAAATTTGTTCGAGAGACGCTGAAACAATTATGAATACTTTTATATCTTTGATACCAGTAAGAAAATCAAAGCATTTCTCAACATTGGTGAATGTACGGATATTGTCGACAATCTTGCGTAGGTCAGTGACTGAATTACAATAAGTGATGTCTGAATCATTGATGTCTGCGTCGAGCCATACAATAAGAAAATTTTTAATACCACAACCTCGTGAACGACTAGATGAAACCGGTATTGGGATATCATGGTCTGATGTTAAAAGAAATAATGAGTAGATTAATTACTACCCGTATCAAAATAGAATATTCTTCACTGTTCATTCAAAAGAAAATCTTGATTTTGATACATGATCTAGATAAACGAACGTCTATTTTATTCCCTCGAAATATATGTCAAAACAAGCATAGCCAATTGTTCATAGATTTCTTTCAAAATATCCGAAGATCTGATATTAAGCTTTTTCTATGCTAGATCTTGTTGCTTACTTTTACCTTCACTATATTGAACTGATGATGATGGATTGATTTTTGTTTCATTATTGGAAAAATCTATCGATGATTTTATTTTTTGTTCGCTCAAAATATCATGTGTATTCAATTTGTTTTCGTCCATGTGTCAGTTACATAAATCGTAGTGAAATGCAAGTGCTTCGATTCAAACGAAAGAAAAAAATATTGTACTACGACTGTAATAGATATAATGTAAAATTTCTTTTTCATTATGTACATGTACATTATTGTTTAACCATGCGTATCTTTTTGCTAAATGGTGAAATAGTATATGTGTGACTCATAATTTTTTTTGCATGTAGAAAAGACTGTTCGTTATAAATATAATCGCACAGATAATAAAATATGTTTCCATATTTATCAACACGTAAGTTGTTGTCATCAATTATTCAATCAGCTTAAAAGAATACTATGAGTTGATAAGAAGTGAAACCGATTTTGAAAGAAAAAAAAAATATCATCATTCGTTTCGATGATTGCATGGTACATTATTTGTAGTTGGATCATTTCTGTATTGATCTCTACAGTTCTATTAACTAATAGATGTTACATATATTTAACTCTCCATCTGAAGATCTTGTCAAATATTATCGAAATACAGATGTTCAACATCACACATTAATATTTAATGAGCAAGATAGTGATTTTTCGGAGATAGTAATCTAATTTTTTCCAAAGAAATATATTATTTTCGATAGGAGATGGACCTTATTCAATATTATCAGCTGCTGTTTTTTAGAATGAAGATATTCTTCTTCTCAATTCTGATACTCATAGCATGTTGATCTTTTTTTAGACGACGGAAATAGTCATTTTCACATACGACATCGATCAGATGTTATGCTTGCATATATATATATATATATATATATATATACAAATGAAATCACCATCATGTCTGAACATAGTAGTCAAACTTTGGGTATCTATTTTTTAATCGGTAAAAGAAATGAAAATTTTAATCAAGAAACAATATTTTCATCTGAAATCAAGATGACTATAAATATTCTGTTAAATCAGTGTAAATGGTACCTTATTAAAATACTCCAATGTTATATATTTATTCAAGTGTTCTTTTCTCTAAGGACAAATTTACTTGTTTATATATATACATTTAACCTTGTTAAGTTCTCTTTCATAAAATAAAAACTAAAATTATGTATTGAATAAAAGATCTAATTCATACATATTCAAGGATAATCACGCCCTTTACCTTACTTTAAGTATAAATGTATATGTTTCTTTCTATAACTATTTGAATTCTATTTTATTCAAATATACATTTTTATAATATAGTTCATTCATATTTAATGATGAAAAAGAAAGTTGTTACGTAGATGTTGAAACTATTTTGATTTATTAGTGCCTTACTTTTACAGAAGAGTGACAATAAAAAGAAAAATTTTATTAAAAATTGAAATTAATATGTCAATGGAAATAAATACTTCAGAACAGTAAGACATAATTTTAACAAAGAAAAACGAACATTATAAAAATCTTTTCTTTTTTTGAAAGGAAATCATTCAAATGGAACAAATTTCTGATACTGTTTGGTATAATAACTAGTTTGTTTATTATTGCAACAATTGTATTGGCTATTTTATTTGGTATCGAACGAAATCAAATTAGAATGTATCAATCATCATCATCATCATCTGGTAAATTTTATAAATAAACTAATTAATATCTCGCTATCTATTCATTTCAGAAAATGAAACAAAAAATCTTTGTTTGAGTTCATATTGTCTCAAAGCAGGTAATTACTATTTTCAATCTCTTAAATCTGTTCCTTTTTTTTTTCTTTTTCATAGCGAATTATTTACTTGAAAGTATTGATGAAACGATTGATCCATGTGAAAATTTTTATCAATTTACTTGTGGTACATGGATTAAAAATACACGAATACCATATGATCGTAATGTTATGATTGTCATAATAATGAAATTTTTATTTTTCTTCATTTAGAACAAAGTCAGAATGCATTTACACAATTACAAACTCAAGTTATCTATGATATTATTGGTAAATTATATAAAAATATTTTCTCTCTATCTTATTTTCTATAGATCTTCTTTCAACATCTACAAATGAATCCATTCAACTCAATTCTGTTATCAATGCACAACATTTATATAATTCATGTATTCATGAGGAAACTATTGAAAAAGATGACATTGATGGAATACTTTCACTTATTCAGACACAATTCAATGGGTGGCCAATCATAGAACAATCGAACTGGAATGAATCAATATATAATTTGCTTGATTTATCAGTTAAATTAAGTCAATATAATAATTTTCCATTATTTTATACACTCACTTATAATGATGATGAAAATTCATCTGTTCAGTGTATTTATGTTAGTAGAAAATGTAAAGAATATTTCTTAGTTATATATATATGAATATTTTAGATAGGTCAAGGTACTTTAAGTCTCGGTGATCGTAATTATTATTTGAATGAAAGTACAATCACACAAGCTTATCAAAAGTTGATGAAAGATGTTATTTTAGCATTAACAAACCATACATTAGTGAATGATAGTGACATCAATGAAATATTTCAATTTGAAAAATCTCTTGCTCAAGTATTTTATTAGTTGTGTGTAATCAATATGATTTTGTCGATTCTTTTTCAGAATTTTTACACTACAGTTCAACAACGTGAAACTCCGGTCTATCGGTTAACTTTTGGGAGTCTATTTAATTTCATGAATACATCAGTAAGTTATCTTCTCATATTTATATTTATGTCTCTCTGTCATATATCTAAATAGTTTAATTATACTGAATATCTTCAGCGTATTTATCTATTTGGAAATGTCACTCTTGTTCGTGAAGATATCATTAATGTTAATGATATAGAAGTGTTACGTAATATTTCGATACTTTTTGATCAAAATCGTCCACGTACTATTCAGAATTATCTAATATGGCGATTTGTACTCAATCAACTCGATCATATGCCAAAACGATTTCGAATGATGAAACAAGAATTCATTAAAATCTTTTCCGGTACTGCAGTTGAAACATCTCGTCCAGTGAAGTGTGCTACATATATTACTGATAATATGGGAATGGTAGTTTCTAGACTATATATAAAGAAGAAATTTGATGATTATGCTCGTCAAGAGGTAAAATCCTAGAGAATAATTGTTATTGTTATTATTATTTTATTTTAATATAGTCAATAGAAACGGTTAAAAATATTCATAATGTTCTCTCTGAAATGATTAATGGATCGAAATGGATGAATTTACTTTCAAAAACTGTTGCTATTGAAAAAGTATGTTATTATAATTGATTTTTCTTCGAGTAAAATTTCTAATAAATATATGTACGTAGGCTCAATGGATTCACGAAAGAATTGGTTATGCTGATGAATTGAATGGTGATAATATGACAGATTTCGAACAACAATATGAAGAAGTAAGTGACAGAACCGTGACGAATTTATTAATTTATCTTGTACTTTTTCGAAATTTAGTATAAATTTAATTCATCGTATATTCAAAATATTTTAAGAATGTTACAATTAAATGCAAAAAAGAATCTTCTTAAACTTCATAAATCGGTTGACCGAAAAAATTGGGATGATACATTTCCTACTACTGTTAATGCTTATTATCGTCCATCATTTAATGACATAAGTAACATGTTTAACTGATTTGAAAGCTATCTAGAAATAATTTTTATCTATTTCTAGCTCTCACCGCTGCTATTCTTCAAACACCATTTTTTCGTAAAGATGCACCAAAGTAAGACAATCTCTTCTTATTTATATATGATGTACAATTTATTAATATTTCATTTTCAGATATTTGAATTATGGTGGTAAGTGCGATAAATCATTTGATTGGAAAGACGAGTTTTTTTATTCCTGAATTTTGATATTAGCTATTGGTACAATCATAGGTCATGAATTGACACATGCTTTTGATAATGATGGTCGTCAATATGATAAATATGGTAATCGAATTCCATGGTGGTCATATGAAACTATTAATTCATTTAATGAACATAAACAATGTATGATAGAACAATATAATAATTATACAATATCTCAAATAAATATGCATGTAAGATTTCATTTTACTATGTGTGATGATCAAAAAAAAATTCTTTTCGTTTAGATCAATGGTAAACAGACATTAAGTGAAAATATTGCTGATAATGGTGGTTTGAAAGAAGCGTTTTATGTAAGTTCAAATATATATTATATTTTATTATAATTTATTTTTGATATCATAGGCTTATCAAAAATGGTCTAAGATGAATCCAAATGTTGATCAAAAGCTACCTAGTTTGACAAAATATTCTGAAGAACAGATGTTTTTTATGAGTTATGGTTCGATATGGTGCTCAAAATCGACAGATCAAGCGGCCATGAAAATTGTTTTAACTGATGCACATTCACCTACTGAATTTAGGTTGCTATTATGCATATCACTTTTCATCAAAAATATTATATCAAAAAAAATTATTTTTATTTTCTAGAATACTTGGTTCAACATCAAATTTTGATGAATTTGATCGAGTATTTGGATGTAAGCCAGGTCAAGGAAATAGTCGAATAAACAAATGTGTCATATGGTGATAGAAATCATTCGATTTATTCATGCATATGGATATAAAGAAAATTTTCAGTTTTTTTTTACTGCTAAAATATTTCAATTTTTTATTATACTATATTAATATAAAAAAATAATGAAGGATACACTCTTCACTGTGCTATAAATATTATATTATCGTTCTTACATGGCCGAGAATTAAGATTAATACGATCAGTAGCAAATTAATTAGAAGTTTGCATAATTTGAATCAGAAAAAAACAAGCCTTTTTATCAGTCAGATTCTTACTTTTTAAAGGTGGGTGTGGGTGTCAATGTAGGCTTGAGAAAGAAGGAGGCAAGACTCACACCCACACCCCATAAACAGCACATAACAAATATCACAACCAAAATCAATCTCCGGGACAGAAGACATATGTCAGGTGTCTCGTTTTAAATAATTCTAACTTTATGGCAGTACAGTCCGTCATTTGTTATACGTTTTCCGTTGTGTATGACTATATTGTCTGTTTCATCGTCAATAAAGCTCTGTCGTCAAAAAAAAAGACTAATCTGAATAGAAAACTTGATACAAAAATAAATATTAAAATTTAAAGTGAGTCTCCTGTGTATTGACACTTCTTACTACACTTGGACGATAAGCGAAATCTTATTAGTAGTGGTCGTTGCATATAATTGTGTAACTAACATGCGCATATTGATAAGACTTTTGGTGTTCTTATCGACAGAAGACGATGGATAAAGAGAGCAAGCAAGTTTGGTTACCTTCTATTCTGTTACAAAGCAAGGTATGTATCACTCGAACATTTTATTCAGTATGATTTTTAATCTTGAAGGTGTGGGTGTGGGTGGGATTTGTGTTGATGTAAGTATTAATTACAGAAAAATATAATACTTACAGTCACACCCGCCCACATTCACACCCACCTTCAAGATTTTGCGAATTACTCTTTATTTGTTTTGAGAAAAGTTAAATGGAAATCTTTTAGATATGAAACTAATCAAAAAATCTTTATTTAAAATTATATTTATTCTATTATTTATTGGTTTGATCTATAACAATCTTTCATGTAATGTTATTAAAATCTCCACATCTAATCTGACATCATTAATGATTCCATTTGAATATATTAATAATATTTCCAATGATTTTTGTTCGGAATTTTTACTTAAACAACGATATCAATTAGAATTTCATCAACTTGAACATTATTCTTCTGAAAAAATGTACTCTAAACCATTAAGGAACAAAGATTCAATTGAATCATTTCCTAAATTACCTTATTTTTATTCCTTATGGAAAAATTCTTCGATTCTCCCGCGTTTAATAAGTCCATGTGAACATCAATTATATGTGAAATTAATTCAAATATTTGATCATATATGCCGAACTTATTCAATAGAATATTTTATTAGTTATGGAACATTATTAGGATCATATAGAAATCATGGTAAATATTACATTACAATTCTTAGTCTTTAATCAATATTTTAATAGTTTTATTCAGATGTCAATAAAATAACAATTATTTTAAATTTCATACGTATTCTTAGTGAAAAGAATTTCTTTAATGAGAAAACTATCAGATTCTTTCGAGTAGAATTCAACTATTATGAAATAAAAATCAAACTTATTTATTAATATCTAATAGATTCATATAGAATTATTAGTTTTTATTCTTTTTATTACCATATAGTTAATTAAGCATTATTTCGAGTATGATTAATATCAAAATCTCACTCGAATCTAATCAGTTTATGGTCTGTATTTAAACTGTTTAACTAGAGATTATTCTCATTATCGACGCATATTAATAGTGAATAATAACTAGCATATGAAAATATATACTGAAAGAATTTCTCATTTCCCGTCAGACTTGGTAAGTAGAGAGAGAATGAAGTTGCCACTAATATCTATTTCACTGAATTTTGTGAAATTGAAGGAATAAATAGCTGGAGTAGAGGTTAATATGGAATCAAAGAAAGAAAGGAAAGTAGTAGTAACAATTAACGATATTGCTCATCTCTGATATGTTTCGCTAAGTGGTTAAGAAATAAAAGATAAAAGTTCGATATTTACAAGGCTATATTTTTAACAAAAGCATCCTGCTTTAAACTCTTCATCTGGTTCTCACGATAAAACTGAAAAGGAATCTCTGTAGTTTACGTAGTAGTATGCTGTGACATTACCTAATATGAAATAGTCATTTTTTTCCCAAACTTTTTGAAACTTAACGGACTCGGTCCCTTCGCATCATCACTATTAGAATCTCTGAGTTTATCTTTTTACAATGAATGAATCGATAATATTGCAATTGTATGTTGGAATAATGCTTTTTGAATAAAATTCGGTGAAGAATCGTATTTAAAAGACTTTAGGTAGATATTTACTTTCTGTTGTTAGCTTAGATAGAAAGATGAGAAAATAATATTAAGATATTTTTTGATAAATAAAAATAATTTGTTAATATAAATAGATATATTACCATATGATGATGATGTTGATATTTTGATACATAAGAAATATTATTCAAATTTATCTCGAATAAATCAATTAGATAATTCAACTGATTGGCGATTTTATATAAATTCTGAAACAAATATGAAATTTTATTTCATTTCATCTAAATCAGCTGGAAAATATCCATGGAAATGGCCTTTTATTGGAATTGATTTTTATACAGATAACCAAACACATATTAACCCAGGTGTTTTTATAAACAAAGAATATATATATCCATTGGCATATTATCCAATAAGTACACTTTGGTTACCTGGACCAAAAAATATTGAAATGTTTTTTAAATCAGTGTCAAAATCTTATTATTTTAACTTCTCAATTGATAAAATATGCTATTCACAAAGTTATTCACATAGAGATGAAATGAGGAAATATAAACAAAAAACAGTTAATTGTACACAATTAGTAAATACTTATCCATTTATTCAACACATATGTGACGATTATTATTGTTATCAGCATTTTATGTTAAATAATCGAACAAGATTATATGTTTTAAAAATCAATAAAGATTAGAAATTAACATTTTATTCACAGTTTAAACAATTCTTCCTCAATGAAGATACTAAGAGAACAATATCTAATTCCGGCTGGATGAGGATGAAGGTGTGGGTGTGGGTGGGTGTGGGTGTCTAAGAAAGTAGGATATAACACCCACACCCACACTCACACCCTTCCCATTGTCTTTTTCTCATTCACTAAAAACAAATTTTCTCCGATTTCTGTAAGGTTTCCTTGATGATGGAATTTTGAGGATGAGGTTGTGGGTGTTTATAATACTCTTCTGTTCACCCACACCCACACTCGGCTCACGACAATTTATCTCATTATATTCAAGAGAAGCCAATAGACCTCGTACAAGATCTTCATCACCACCACAACAAGCAATGTATAATTCACTTAATGAAGCCATCGTTGCTGTGCACAACACTCAACTAAGTGTTCTCTAAATGCATCTAACCAACTGTTACTACCGACAGTGATAAGATAAGGTTACACGTGTATCATTGTCAACAAAGAATAAGTATTTTTTTCTCTATGTATTCAAATTATTATCTGATTCATCCTATGAAATTTTTGTTGAAAACAGTCAATCTTATTTATTAATTTTCATTTTTCTTATTTTACCTAAAATCTAATCGTTCAATAAGTTCTTATCGTTCTTTTTTTAAAATCAATTGTAATTAAAAAAAGTAAAATAATTAATTTGATTTTTAAAGCATAAATACCAAATTTAACTCAAGATTTTAAAATTAAACTTGATATTATAACAATATCACATATACTGCTATTTCAAATATTTCATTAGTATTTGATGAAATTTGAACTAAATGATCATTAGATTGCCATAAAAGAATTAAATTCCTTCCCACATCATTAATTGTTTATGGAAAATTTGTTTAAAATATTAATGAAGAATGAATAACAAATGATCTACTTGGAATATAAAGAACATTACTATTCATCATATATTTTAAAATCGCATTTAATATAGCATTTAAATATGATCAGTAATGACATCTTTTTTTCTTTAGATATAAGATTTAATAGAAATAAATGTAGAAAAAAAAACAGAGTAATAGATACTAAAAGTTGTTCAAAATATATCGTTCTTTGTCGATAATTTGCAAAGTTATCAATATCCAATCCCACGAAATTTATTAAACTATATATTTAAAGAAAAAAAGGAGTATAATATATGCTTAAAGCAAGTAGCATTAACTCTGTAATCATAACTGAATCATTATCATTTATACGATACGAAATATTGGTATCGTTTTCAATTATTGTTGATTAAACACAGGTGGTATTTCGATAATCTTTGGCATAGCCACTTTCAATTAATTGAAAAGAACCTCCACGTGCATCGTTGATCTTTTTACCCATATGATAGACATCATAAGCATCCTTAGAATAACCGTTACCAATTAATTGAAAAGAACCTGCACGTGCGCCTTCTATTTTGTTTCGCATATAATAAACATCATAGGCATCTTTGAAATAACCATCTTTCAACAATTCAAAGGAGCCTGCTCGAACACCATCTAATCTTTTACCCATATAATAGACATCATAAGCATCCTTCCAGTAACCATCGCCAACGAATTTAAAAGAACTTGCGCGTGCACCATCGATTTGCTTACGCATATAATAAACATCATAAGCATCTTTGAAATATCCATCTTTCAACAATACAAAGGAACTTGCCCGAACACCATCTAGTTTTTTGTCACCATAGTAAACATCAGACATATCCTTCGAATAACCATCGCCAATCAGTTGAAAAGAGCTTGCACGTGCATCTGCTAGTTTTTTACCCATATAGTAGACATCGGAAAAATCCTTTGAGTAACCATCCTTCAATACTTGAAAGGAGCTTGCACGTGCACCTTCAATTTTTTTGCCGATATAATAGACATCATAAGCATCTTTGGTATATTCCCAGTATACATGACATGTTTTATTTTGTAATTGTTTTCCAGTATCATTGGCAACTTGACTATTGACGAGTGATAGAAGAAGAGCTGTAGTAACGATCAGAGACACGTAGTGGAATTGCATGATAGTGGCTCTCGACGAAAGCTTTTATTTCAATAAAACTTGATTACCACGTCGATTAATGAATAGAGAGAAGAAATGAAACAGGTATTTTATATTGTTTCAACTATATATGTGTCATTGCAAACGAATAATCGATATTAAGTAGGTATTAATAAAACTCATTGTTGGCATTGACTCAATATTAATACTTTCAATTCTATTCAATCACTAATATTGGTTGAAAATAACAATATCACTTCGTAATAATCTGCACCATCTGCTATTAAATCTTGTGCATATAAAAATGAATCAATACTATTATTGAAAATTGATATTGATTATTCTTTTTTACAGTGATCTTAAGATTATTAAATGTTTGCTTTATTAAAAATAGTACACATCCATCAGTCAATTTTAACATTTTGTATTATTTTGATTGGATAATATCTTAAGGGTGTGGGTGTGAATGTGTGGGTGAGGTGGAGATATGAACATTATTTTCTCCCCACACCCGCCCTGATCAATCATTGTCAAACGAGAAAAAGATTTATTTTCCTTTTTCGTCCACTTAAAATGTGTCATAGCGTTCCGTATTCTACTTTATTTATACTAATAAACAATGAATATGATCTTGGTCGATCACAACCGACTAAAGATATTTATTTTTAATATAACAATTTAGAAAACAAAGTTCAATAACAACAAATAAACTCTCAATTATTCATCAATAATGTTTAACAAGATGTCGTTGATTATTTTCTTATGATGAAATATTAGATGGAGATCCGTTCGACGTAGTTCTTGAACGGCGAACAGAGGAGGTTGGGAATACAACTAAAAACTCGTGACCATCCAGAAGAGGACCGAGAAACCACTTCTTGCTAATTTTTTTGAGTATTATCAAAATTTCATTGTGGTCAACGAAAAAGTCTGTTTTGGCGAGTGAAATTGGTTGGTGATGAATATCGACAATGAGAGGAGACTGCTTGTCGAAAACAGAACCAACGACTTGAGTATGTGAAAGATAAGGAATATTGCATACTCGAATGACGTTTTCTGCATGATCACCAATAAATTTCAGATTGATTGGTATACGATTGCAAGCATTGCAGAGACTCATTACAGCATAAGGATTTGAAGATACTAGTCCAGCGATAACAACATCTTCGACGTTGTTCGTAGCCATAGAAAGTAGAGTTCCGGCTACACCCTGACGTCGATAAGATGAATCAACAACTAATTGAGTAATCCAAACAGCATTGCCATTTAATGGATCATATTTGGCATATGTGCAGAAAGCATGACCAATCAATTGAAACTGATCATTATCCGATGAACGAATCTCTGCAACAACAAGAAAACAGTGATCATTGAAGAGCAACAACTCACGAAGACGTTTGATTCCAAGTTTAACACGAGATCCGGCTTTTAATGTGTTATTACTATGAAGAGGAGCATCATGAGCCCAGATGCCGTAGTTGTTATTAAACAATGTTGAGCATTTTTCAAGTATTCGATCTGTCAGAAAAGAATATGGAATGCATGTATAAGAGATTGGACTAACAAGCGTCATTTATATATCTAAAATAAAGATATAATAAGTAAACTTTTGCCTTTCACAACCACTAAGATAGTTCACTATTCAAAAGAAAAAACAATGATTCATATTTACTATGAATTATTCTACATTTGTCTGGACATGAAATCAATCAATTAGTCATTGTCCATCTCTTTTATCTTATTTGGACTTTTCTTTTTTCAGTTAGACCAATCAAATAATTCAGTCTCACGAGTATGGATGATAATAGTTATTCAAACCATTATATATTTCTGAAAAAAATAACCTCATTGTTTCATATTCAATGATCATTTTTAACGTCAAACATAATCTAAAATAAATTCACATTGTACTATGTGCCGACGATTACTATCAGTAGTGGTCGCGAGTTATCAATCTTGAAGGTGTGGGTGTGTATTCGAGAAGAGTACATTATCTACATCCACACTCACCAACACCCTAACAGAAAAATTCGAATTAAAAAGAATTTTATTATAAACATGACGTAAGGTTCTGTTGAGATTTATTTGAGCAAAATTATTTTCACTTTAATATTTGTATAATTAAATCGATTATTTCAATCGATAATAACTCGTACAGCCATATGTTTCGGATAACAAGTAACACGTTGTATGAATCCTCCTGAATTATTGGCTTCTTTTCCTGGATCTTCAATGGTAATACGTTGCATTAACCGAGTAATAGCAGTTTTTAATTCTAAAAGAGCTAAATCTTGTCCAATACAAGTTCTATGTCCTCCACCAAATGGCATATAAGCATATCGTGGAGGATTTCTATCTTCATTGAGAAACCGTTCTGGAATAAATTGTTCAGGATCAATTTTCCAATAATTTGAATTTTTATGTAAATTTTGAATAGCTATTAAAAAAACATCTCCTTTATTTATTTCAATTCCATCAATAATATCATCCGATATTGCTTCACGTACAATTCCTGCAGCTATAGGTGCAAAACGAAGTACTTCTTTTGTTACACAATCAACATAAATTAATTGATCTAATTTTTCTTGTGTTAATGATGTATTCGATGTTAGACCATATTGTTTTAATTCATTTTTTATTTTACATTGAATATTTGGATATTTTGACATATAAAAAATAAACCAAGAAAGTGCCGTTGATGTTGTTTCAAAACCAGCTAAAATTGACATTGAAATTTCATCAAACATTTCATTTGAAGATAAAGAAATTTTTGCTTCATTTTGTGATGCTTCAACAAGTAAAGTAATTAAACTTTTTCGTTGATCAGATAAATAAATTTGTTCATGTTGACGTTTTTGTTCATCATTAATAATACTCATAACATGATTTTTCATAATATTTAATGATTTTTGAAATTTGAAATTCAATTTTAACATTAATTTTGCAACCCATAATGGTATTGCTGTCATTAATGCAAAACGACTTGCACAATCAATCATATTATTAAATGCTTGATGAATATTAATTCCATCATTTGTTGATAAATTTGAAAAATCATAATTAAATGCAATACGAGCAATAACTGTTAATAAAATATGTTGACATTTTATTACTAAATCTTTATGAATTTTAGTTTGATTATTTAAAAATTGTTTATCAATAAAATCATCAATACATTCAACAATTGTTTCAAAATAAGGTAAAATTTTACTTCGACGAAATACAGGTAACATTAAACGTGCATGACGTTTCCATGTTTCACCTTTTAAAGATAAAAGACCACCAGGAAAAAGAAGACTAAAATTACGTGTTGTTATATCGGATATATCATAAATATGACGATGAGATAAAATATGTTCCGTATAATCAATACGGGATATTATTATTATTCGACGAAATCCAACTTGAAATGATAAAATATCACCATATTTTTCTTTCATACAATAAATTGCTTCATGAAAGACTTTACGACCCACAGTTAAACCAATACCTATTTCAAAAAAAACAATTGAATATTAATTTCGATTTAATTCGTTATTATTTTATCAAAGACAAAAACTATAAAGAGTTACCTAAAAGCCATTGAGATTTTAATTTTCTTGTATTCCCTTTACTATTATTATTTGTATAATATCGTTTATAAAACCAATAAATAGTTATTACAAATAGAATCCCAAATAGAATAATAGTTAAAATTGACATGGTAACAAAATCTTTTTATTGACTTTTACATGTGAGACGAAGAAAAAAAATGAAATGAAAGTTAACTACATTATTAAAGAAGTTCTGTAAAGAACGAAAAAAAAACGTCATAGTTGCTAGATATTTGTTTTATAAAATCAAAATAGCAACAATATTATGATTACATAATACATCATCCAAATTCAACCATTTATATTCTTTTGTTACTTTGTACATAGAAAATAAATTTTTTGTAATACTTTATAGTATGCTGATCTGTCAAATTCATCTAAGTTATTCAACTTGATCATATTAATATCAACTCTATGTCGACGAGACAAACGATCTGTCTTACATTACTTTTGTATTTTATATATGCAAAGATTTGTATTGTTTCATTTGTTGAAAGATTTACTTTAATAAAAAAAAACGAAATCACATTTCTCGTGGCTTAGTTAATAAATAATAATAAGAAAAATGAAATTGTACAATAAAGAATATTTGCCAAAAGAAAAACACCGGTTTCAAAGACAAAGAAAAAAAAAAGATTAGCACCAATATGAAACTATGACGAGTGAAGACGATTGATCGGTGCATTTTTATTTAATCCACTGCTCAATTTCGATAATTCATTTAGAGCATCTGTGACCTATTTAAACAAAAACAAATTATTTCGATTTATTAAATAAATCAAAACAAAACAAACATTTAATAATGCATTATGAGTTGATGATAGAATAGAATGAAGACCATTTAATTTCGTTTGATAATATTCTTCTTGGCGTTTTAATAATATTGACCATTCATTTTCTTCTTTTGGATATCTAAAAGATAAAATATTTTTTCAGATAAAATATTTTTAATTATTTCTTTCTTACGTAAACCCATTTGACCATAATGGATAATTTTGTACAAGATTATCAGTCATTCGATCGATTTCATTCAATTTAAAACATAAAAATATATTCACAATAAGAAGGATTAACATTCTATTGAAAATAAATTAAATATAGAAATTTTAACATTTTTTTAATAAAATTCCTACATAATTATAATAAATGGAATTAATGTACTTTCTGTTGACGATCGTGATGAAGATGTTTTATCAGATGAAGAAGATACAATAGAATTTGAATCTAAATTGATTTATTTAGAATATACAATCTCTTAAAAATCATCATCAGATTCTTCAATCCCCTTGTATTGTTGAAGACATCATTAAGCTAACTATGCAAGTACATCATCTGTGATACTACTCTTTCTCTAAAAGGAAGTCGATAGTTGACTTAACGATGTCTTGAACGATAAGTAGACTGGAAGAAGTGAATTAATATTATGAATTGTAACTCTATTAGATTTCTTTTTATAGATTCATCTCAAAAATGATACTTGACTAATAAGAGAGATAAAGTGATGATGACTTTTGAAAGATTTTCTAAAAAGAATTGAATATTTACTTTGATTATTATTATTAAAATCATCTTGAATTATTTTTCTATGTTTATTTGTTGGTGAATCATCAATAGAAGTATCTAATTCATTTAATTGTTGTTTTCTTGAATATTTTTTCTTAGGCATATTTGTTGATTGATTCGTTTTATCTTTCTCATGATTATTTGTAATACTTGATGATCGTTGTTTATTCGATGTTTCATGTTCAATACGTTTCACTAAATATGAAGAAAAAATAAAACTTATTAATTAATATTTCTGTAAATCAAATAATAAAATAAAGCAAAAACACCTGACGATGTTGATAGTTCGATTCGATTGTCTTTATAAAAAGCAAAAAAATAAATAAAAACAAAATCAGCCAAACATTAAAGCATATAAGCACGAGAAAATATTCGTACAAAAAAAAAAGAAAAAAAAACTTACTTAAATCTGTAAAGGAATCTTGAAGAGCAGCCATTGCATTTTTTTCGATGAATGCTAAATGAAAAACATAGAATTGTTTAACAATGTGAATAGTCTCTTAAGAGAATATTTTTGTCTAAGAAAAAATTGATTTAACTTACATTTAATAATCATCATAACACTTTTAACATATCGAACTTCACATGTTACTTTTAAATGTGATTTATTTGCTCCAATTTGTACAATACAATAACGAGATGCAACAAAAAATGTATCGGCATATTTTATTCCTTCATTTCGTACTTCTGTATCTATTATATAATGAGATTTCGATAATTCACAATCGATAACCTATTTATTTTACAAATAATAATAAGATGAAGAAGAAGAAGAAGGAAAGAAATTGATTTCTTTTACTTGTTTTTCATTGGAACAAATTGTTGTTGCGCCAAAAACAGCCGCAACATCGACTTTATAAGTGCATAGACGTTCTCGTTTCCCCGTTTCTTTATTTACGGTCCATTCACCCGCATGAAAATCTATCGAACAAAATTCAATAAGAAATAAGAAGAAAAAGAAGAAGAAGAAGAAAAAAAACCTTTGATACGACGTGATGCATGATAAGCAGCAAGAAAATCTCGATCATCAAATATATAATCAAATAAACGTTCAACTGACGTTGAATATGTTCGATCAATTAATTTTGTAGCTAAATGTGATTGACATGGACATGGACATGTGGTTAAATAATTTCTTTCTAAACAATTTTAAAAAAAGAAAATCTTTCTTTATAAATAAATAAATTAAACAAACCAGGAGAAATATCCATTGATGTGAAAGAATTTATATTTATAGGCGGAGGAGGAGGAGGAGGTTGACGAATAAGTGTATTTGTATTAGCTTCTTCACCAATAGGTATTATACCAATATCTTCATCAAGATCTTCATCACCACGAGATGATAGACTTGAATGATCATCTGTTTCGTCTTTTTTACTTGATTTTGAGCAAACTGATTCTGGTTTTTTTATACGCTAAATACGAAGAAAAAGAAAAAAAATTAATATTGAAAATAATTCATTGAGAAGATAAATATTTTATTTAGTAAAAGACAAGAACAAAAAAACACAAGGGAAGAATAAAAGCAACTAGCATGTCGTGTGTTACATTCTTCTCAACTGATAATCATCATTCGACGACCAATGATGAAGAAAAAAAAAAAAGAAAGAGTCATTTTTCATTCTTATATTTTAAGCGTTAAGATTGAAAGGGATCTTATTGTGTATATTATCTTTTTCAACACACATATGTTAATTTATTTACTCTATTGATAACATATGATATGTTAAAAACACTTACCAACACAATATTTGATAACTAAATTTAATAAAAACAAAAAAAACAACGACGTAATATTAACGAAACAAAATCTTCTTATTAAATTAAATAGAAAAATGTATATCTTACATCATATTTATCACTTGTTGTATTTTTAATTTGTTGTTTTGGTGATGTTCTTTCTGGTGTTGAATTAGTTGATGGTTTTTGTTGTGTATCTTCTTCATCAGTTACCATATCTACATCATTGCCATAGCTTTCACGAATTAATGCCCATAATTGTTGAGATGATATTGACTAAGATTTATCAAAAAAAAAAATGTTTTTTTTTATTACAAAAAAAAATGAAACAAACTTGATCAGTAACTGTCATTTGCCATATACGATAAATAAGTCCATAACTTTTATCACGTGTTGCAAAACTTGCAAAAAAATATTTTTCATTTTTATTTGATTTAACTTCAATAGCATTTGGAATAACTTTAGCTGTTTTTTCTCGTGTTATTGCACCAATATCTTTAAATTTTAAACATAAACTTGTTTCCCATTTAAGAAAATTTGCATGAAAACATAAATAATTTTGTGATATATACATTCGACCTTGAATTAAAATTTCTTTTTGCCATGCACATGAATAATCTAGAAAAACACAATAAAAAAAACGAAGATTAATTTTTAAGAAAAATAATATTTCTTACCAACAATTAATCGTTCATCAGTTGGTAAATCTTTAAAAATTTTTCTAAATTCTTCATTTCTTTGACGATAAGTTGATTGAAATGGCTAAATAAAATAAAAAAAAAGAATAAGTTAATAAGAAATCCCATCACCCCTAAGCTTTAAAACATTAATACAAAAAACAAAAAGAAATAAGCGAAAGTCTATTTTCCTAATTAAGAAAAGATTGTACCCAATATTTAAATATTGAAGCAGCGGTTAAAAAAGCATTTGTAGCTGTTGTTTTTACTGAACGTGTTTGAATGGATGTTCTTGGATATAATGGATTATTATTGTTATTACTTGATAATGGAAAACTAACTGATTTTGATGAACGATTTATTTGAATAGTTCGACGACGTTTTTTATCTTTTGAATATTTTTTCATTCGTTCGGAATAATAATGTGATTTACTTCGTTTTATTGAAGATGATACATGATGAATTTTTTGTTCACCTGTTGTCCATGAATGTCTTCGCGGTTTTATTTGATGATTATTATTTAATGTAAATGAACGAGCATTTGATATTGATTCTGATGCACTTGCAACAATATTTGTATTATTTGATAATGGAATAGATAAACCAGAACATGTTTCAACTTGAGAATATCGATTTGGATAACGTGATGATAATGAACTTGATTTTGTATGTGTTGAAAGGAACGATTTAAATTTTTCACTGGAAGAATTTCGTCGAATTTCAGTTTCTATTAATGTATCATTATCGATATCGATAAAATTTGATGTTATAGAAGAATTTCTTGAATTTCCATCGGGTTTTATTGGGGAATTTCGAAAACTATTTGAACGAAGAAATAAACGAATTGTATCCATTAAAATTCGATAGACGTGTAACGTATTAATAAAACTTTTTATTCAACAACAACGACCTAACATTACTTCTATCGTAATATTTTATTATTATTCTATCGGATCCATCTGTTTCTCTCTTAAGAAAAATTTTATCTTTTTTTTTCTTTTTCTAAAGAAATATTTTTATGTAGGAGAGAAAAAAAAGAAATAATATACATTCGTAGGTGGAAGAATATTTATTAATTATTCATTGCCATACATCGTCACTTGACTCATCAAAATAGACAAGTTTTATATTAAAACAAAAATTCTTTTCACTTTTTATATCATTCAACACCTTTTTTCTCATTATTATTAAAAGAAAATTAATCTAGATAATTCTATAACCTTTAGGTTTTTCATCGCGATAACAAAGTTATTCTTTTTTTGTTTTAGTAATAGAAAACAAATATTTGAAAATTGTTTGTTTTTGTTAACTTACATTATACCAGGGTTTCTTTTTTTTTTGTTGTAGATGATGAAGGTCTTTCACCATTTGTTGTTTGTTTAATATTTGTTGATGGAGAAAGATTTTTTGATGAAGATTTTCGTTTATTTTCAAAAGATGTATTATTACTCATTGCTGATTCGTTACTTGTTGTACTTGTTGATGATGATTCTAATAACAATGATGTTGTTGGATTAGGTGAGAGAGATGATGAAAGTTCTTCTAAATTTCCAAGTATAACTGGTTCACTTTTATTTCGACGATGATTTATCTGACGTTGTTTTGTTTGAAGAAATGATAAAGATGATAAATTAACTTTATCAGTTGATTCATTTAAAAGAGAATTATTTTGTTCAAAAGATATATCATCATTATATGATGGAGATGTTACCATAACCATTGCCATACTTGACATTTCATTACTTGGAACATTTCCAACAGCTAAAAATAAATAAATAAACAAACATTTTTTTATCGGAACTTATTCAAACCTGTTTGTGTAGTCGAAGTTTTATTATTAAAAGAATCAATAGTACCTGAAAGATTCGATGATAAATTATTTTGTTGTGGACCCGAAGGTAATGTTATTGAAGATGATATTATAGTTTTTTGATTTGATTCTTCAATTGGATAATATTCAGATGTTGAACTATTCAAATAATTTTAAAATTAATTTTACTCTTGTTTTGTTTTTATTAAAAACGAAAAAAATCAAATAGAATCAATCTAAGCAGCATTTTATATTTTAACCTGATTAACTGTTTACTCTTATCAATTAGTTTTTCAAATGAAGGAGACGAGAATATTCGACGATGAAGAAGTTTTTTTTGATCAGAACGAATTTCATTACTAATTAAATAAAAATAATCATTTAACAGACGAATTTTTTCTCTCTAATAGATTCTTTTATATTATAAAATGTCGAACAAAAACTAATAATAATGAATCTCTATCTGTCACTTGAAATTATTCTCACTCATAAGATTGTTATTCTATTATTATAACCTAGATAAAAAAACTAGATCTCTTAGAAATACGCGAATGTCTATGTAATATTCAATAGAATGATTCATCTATTCAAACATAGTTTACTCATCACGATTAATCAGGCCATAATGTTACGATAAGATTAGGAAGAAGCCAACACAAAAATTCGTATTAAAAATAATCTTTCTCAGGATGGAAGTACACAACATTGAATCTCTATGGAAAATTATTATAACTGAAAGTCATACGATCCAGTCTGACAAAAATAAACCATTAAATATTTACCGTTGTTTTCTTTTGAAAAGAAACAAAATTGAAATATAATGGTTGCCCCCAAACTTACTTTTTTTTCCTTCCAGAAAAACTAATTTTTTTATTGTTAAAATAAATCTTTTAAGTCTAGTCAAATAATTCTTTAATAAAATTTTATTAAAATTAACTCAAATAGATAATAAACTTTACGTTCATTTTTAATATATGTATATATGAATTCTTGTAAAATTGATTCTATTTGCTTTTTATATTCTCACCTTATAGTTGTTCCATCCATAGGAATAACAGGTGGAATTTGCGACATATTTATGTCAATCTAAAAATAATGAATTAGTAACGAACAAAAATCTTTTTTTTATTTATTATCGAAGAGGAAAAAAAACAAATAATCACATATTATGTCTGTTCTTTATGTTTTCATTTAAAAGTGCAAGAATAAAAAATAAAATAAAATAAAAGGAAGATAAATAAGTAAAGTTAATTATCAAATAAACGAAAAAGAAAAAAAGAATTGTTTTGTGCATTTTTTTGATTATTTTACATTGGAGGACGATTTTGCCTAAAAAAAAAGAATAAAATTTATTTTATTAAATAGAGAAGAAATAATTCAAAAAGAGAGCAGAGCATGAGCAAATAAAGACTAACGAGAATAGATTATAAACGGAATGAAAATTAATTAGTTGCTTGCATGTAAGCATTTTACATTCGACGCATTTGATATGATGCGAGATTTTCACTTAATTAAATAAACATAAGATCAAAGAACAAATATTTTCTACAATGATATTATCGAATTAAGAATATTAAACTAGAAAGATTTTTCTTCCTCATTAATTAGAAAATTACTGATCTTCATTGGAAAAGTTAGAAATGAATCAGTCTATATAATAATATTATATTTTTAACAATAGAAAAGTCTCTGTACACATTTATTCTTATGTAGAATTCGCTAAGACAACATTGTTTTATCGCGATTCAATATATTTATATAAACAGAAAGAAATACTAAAATAATGATTACAATATCATTTGAATGATATCTCAAGAGTAAATATCTTCTATTTGACAAGTCATAATCATATCTCTAAAAATGTATAAAGATAATACAAATAACAGGAGTATGACAATGAGATGATTAGCTAACTATATTAATTAATATTGATATAAAATCTTACGTTTTCCATGTTTTGTGAAGAATAAAGAAGATAACAAATGTGATCATACAAATAATTCCAACAGCAATATAAGCCCAACCAAGAAATGGATTTTTTCCTCCCATCCATGATGTTGTACTTATAATAAATTGTTTTCGTCCAGCAAAACTTGATACAGGATAATCTTTAAAGAAAGAAAGAAATATTTTTCGTTCTAATTAAATTAAATCAAAATAAGTTTTTACTATAAGTAACTGTTAAATAATATGTTCCTTTTGGTAAACCATTTTGAAATGATCCTGTACTACTTGTAATTACTTTTCGATATAATTTTCTAAATGTTGGCATTGCAGCTGTACGCATCCAAACGATAAAATCTTCATTTTGATAACCATCATTATCAGCACTAGTTGGATCTAAATCCCATGCTGTTCCATTCCAATTTGGTGGATGTGGTTGGGCAGGAAAATCTATTTTGTTTAAAAACAAAGAAAAGAATTTTATTTTGAAACATAAATATTTAAATCTATTTACATGTAGCAGCATTCGTAGGATTTCGAAATTTAACATCTTTATCAGTTGACCATGCAATACCAGTCTTTGCAATATTAACAGTTTCATTATTATTGAATGATAAAGAGAATGTATCTAAAATAAAATTTTAGTTTTACAAATTAAACAAATGAAATAATAAACCATTAAATTTTGAATTTGCTATTGCACCACAAGGTGCTATATCAATATCACTTCCATTTGTTGCTTTTTGAAATGGTTGACAATCAGTAGATACACGATCTGTTTTTCCTAATAATTGATTATCATCACGTGATCGAACATAACGACGATGATTTTGATAATAATTTACTAAACCATAATAAAAATAAACATCACCCTAACAAAAGAAATTCCAAAATTAATATTTTTTCTTAAATAAAATTGTAACTAACATTGAAATCTGTATCCAAAGTAAAAGATTTTACACAGGTACATGACTGACCCGTATAATTTGCTTTTGCTAAAACATCTGCACATGTTGTGTTTGCTACACTTGTACTTATACAATTTGTATCAGTGTAATCAAGATCAAATTCATTTACCTTTATTTTTAAAATAAACTCATATTTATTTCAAAAAACAAATAAATCATCAAAACATACTCGATTAGATGTCACAACAAGAACAATACCAATAGGAATAAATACTAAACCAATTATGAGGAAGACTGGTAATGCTGTATTAGCAGTTATAATAGGTTGCCATGCTGGTAAACGTTGTTGTTTAAAAGCAGTATCTAATAAAGAAACGAAAAAATATTTCGAAACAGTATAAAAAAAACAATTATATAAACTAACCAGCTGGTTTTTTGCTTTTCTGATGATCACGGTCGTCTTCATTTTCTGGTTGACTCGACATATTTTGATTATTATGCTCAGAAATATTACAATCAGATAAATATATACTAAATTAAAATATTGGCATTTCTATATGCATACTTCAAATAACAACAAGAACAGAACAAGTAACTAAACAAGTAATATTCATCATCATCATCATCAATTCATTCAATTTCAAATAATAGATTAATCATCAAAATGATTTTATTTTTATTTTCTATTCAAATTATTTCTTTACTCAATTTTTATTTTATTTTTATTAGATTTTAAAGTAAAATTATTTAAAAAATTAATTAATAGATGTCGCTCTCATTCAATTGCGAACTTTCTTTTTTCTAACTTATCAATACAATAGAAATATAATATGACGAAAAAAAGCTCAACATACCTTTTTTTTTGTTCAAAATAATTTATTAAATAAATTCATAGGATCTAGGTTTTTAAAAAAAAATGCAAATTATACTTTTCAAGATTTGATGGAAACTGTTTTTTTTTTCGAAATAATGTCATAAAAGCTCTAAAATGCTGAATAAAATGAGAGGCCCTCGGGTTTCATACAACCTTTTCATGTTAAATTGTAGACGTGAAAATGTGAAACAATTTCTAAGAAACATTTGTAATTTGTCAAGGAAAAGTAGTATGAAATACGATGACCTCTCGTTTCATTCACCTTAGAACTTTTAGAACATTATTATCATAAAAAAATAGTTTCTGTTAACTCTTCAAGGACTTGTAAAATATGATACATAGCTTTTTAGAGTCATTGATCAATCTATTATTCGAAATATAACTTTTAAGAAAAAGAAATACATTAAGTTAATGTTAAATCAATAATAGAATTAACCCTTTACAGTCGGCTGCACAAGCCATTGCGTAACAATATCTCCTTTTGTACACATTCCTTTCCTATCGGCTGTCAAAAATTACCTAATAAAAATATTCCTCCTTTTATATCTATTGTTTTTTCTATGATAGAGAACGACAACGTGTACTGTTTTAGAACGAAGTTTCTTCGGTACTTATTAGATCAGTGTTGGCATTTAGCAACACCCGACCGTAAAGGGTTAATTTATAAAAATATATTTTCAATCATTTCAAAAAAAAAACTAAAATTCTCCATTTTCATCTTTTAATTGACAAATACTTTTATATAAAATTTCGTTTTTTACTTATACAATTTCAAAAGAATGAAAACTGACAACTATATCAAAAGAATATTTGAAAAGAAAAATTTTGACTTTCGTTTTGATTATGTGCGTAGAAAAAGTCATTGAAGCATATCGTCATATTTATTTTTATACATATATTCTTTTTCTTTCGAATAATATCATGTCATTTTATGTACGTATTCAACGATTGTGCTATACAAGGTTTTATACAAGAAATATTCGATCTCCTAAATCAATTTTGTCACTCGGAATTATTTTCCTCATTTTTCTATTTATTATTTTTAAAAAGAAACAAACTTGTTGGCGTAAGTGATTTTCTTTAAAAAAAATCGAAAAAAAGTTTTTTTGATGAATCAATAAATGTGTTAGTTTAGTTGATTATTATCGTTCTCGTTTATTTTGTTTTGTGTTAACAAATCAAGATAATTTAGAAGATCGAGCTCGTGCTGCATATGAAACATGGGGTCATCGTTGTGGTCGATTTGTATTAATTACTCGATTAAATTCATCTCGTTCTTATACAATTTATGAAAATGAAAATATTAATATTAAACATGATCAATTACCAATTCAATATATTCCAACATTACCAAATGAAACTTATTCACATTTACCAGATAAAGTTCGAGAAATACTTTTATTTTTAAATAAATATTATCCAAATTATGATTGGTATCTTAAAGCAGATGATGATACTTATGTTATTATAGAAAATCTTCTTAGATTTTTAATTAGTACGATTAAGTAAGGAACAAAAACATTTCTTTTTTTTATATAAAATATAATTTTCAGACGACGTCCAAAACCAGTTTTATATGGTTATCGTTTTCGAGAAGATTATTATGTAAGTGGTGGAAGTGGATATGTGTTAACACGTAAAGGACTTGATTTATTTGGTTCATATATGAATGATAATTTATTATATGCTCGATGTAATTCAACAATGGAAGATATGATGGTTGGAAGTTGTTTACAAATAATCTTTAGTCTTGCATTATCTAATGAAATCAAAGATTTAACACTTGTTGGTGAAACAATTGATGATCAAGGAAGAGAAAGATTTCATCCACTTACATTTCGTGTTCATTTTAATGGACCAAAAAATAAAACGAAAAGAGAATGGATTTATTTTAGACCATTTCATCACAATTTATTTGTAAGTTTTCATTTTATCTTTTATTTTCTTCTTTTAATTACTTCAATAGGGTTATGAAGCATTAAGTGAAACAACAATAAGTTTTCATTATACTGTTCCTGAAGATATGTATCAAATTCATTCATTACTTTATGATATTAGACAATTTGATAAAGAAATATGTCGTTTACAATCATAGACAACAAAGAAAAACTTCTAATATATTTTCAGATTATTTCGATATTTAAATATCATTTATTTGAGTAATACAAAAAAATAAATAAATGATTTTTATGATAATTACTAATGTACAAATTTAATTTTTCTCACAAGAAAAACAAAATATCATTATCGATATCAATTAATGCTGATGAAATATTATTTTTGTCACGAGTGACATTTGTTTTTCACACATCGATTCAAGATTTAAATGAGACTATCAATGAAACGAAAGTAAATAACATGTCACATAGAAATTTTTATCGTTATTAACTCAAATTGTAAATTTAATTGAATATTATTTTTCACTTTAACATATGTATATGTAAACGTCATAAACCTATTAACGATGGGTATTGTTTACTAGTTTCAATAGAAATAAGAAAAAGAATTGGAAAGTTTAGAGATATATTTAATGAATAATTTAAATAAATGTTAACTCGTCTTCACATAAAAGTATGGATTTATTTTTCTTATCATTTGATAAAACTTAAATAAATAATATGAGACTATTGTCTATCTACCTATGCATATGCTATTTGTTGACATTAAATCTTCATATTAGAGCAATATTGTGTGCCTATACTTGGAATATGTATTGAAGAAAAGCAAAAATGATATCGATTTGTTTGTATCCGTGTGGTCTAATATTATATTTAAGACTTGAATAATGAGATTATATTTGAATAAAATGTAAAATGCGCTTTTTCATTCTTGTTTAAGTTAAAATCTTCTAATTTAATGTTATATATATTTCTATTTCTCATTTTAAATTCTTCTATATGTATTTATTCGTCAAATGATTGGAATAAAATGTTTGATAGATTAGATTTTTTAATCATAAACAGTTATTTAATTATTCAATGTAATGAAAATGAAATTCAATCGATTGGTTCAGTAACATCATTTGAAGAGTTAGAGGCAAATTTAAAATGTTCGAATAAAAATAAATTACTACAACATACAATTGATAATGTACAAGTTATTAATTTTTCAAAAGTCATTTTTAAGTGTATTGGAGATAAAAAAATTCGAATTACTGGACATTTTGTTAGATCAAAATCATCCCTTGATAAAAGCAAGAATGGAGTAGAGTGGCCCTTTATTCATACAGAAATTAAAACAACATCACCCATCAAAATGAAATTTTTGGACAAAAAAGAAATTGATATTATACTTGATGAAATAAGTTTGAGTGAATTGGCTAAGGAAAACGATATTTACATTTACATGGATTTTGTTAATCGTCCAATGGTTTGTAGTTTCTTTTGGCAAGGTATCGACAAGAATACACATGGCAAGTCTTGTGATAACATCCCTGTCAAAGATTTTCAAAGTCCAACATGTTATTACAAGGTTAGCTTGACATACAATTTTGTTTTTCTTTTCAGATTTAATCTAATCGTAAAATAATTCAAAGGAACTGAAAAACAGTTTTGCCATCAAATCTCTGTTCTTTTATCAAGCCTATTTAGAAAACAAGATCTATGAATGGAATTAAGATTTTTATTCATTCAATAGAAAAATTCTTATTGAATTTACGAAATCTGATGTAGTAGTGAGGTTTTTCTATATAATCTCGATTGTAATCAATTACGAAAGCCATAATAACATTTATTTGCCCAGTTTGATGTCATAAAATCAGTTTGAATGATTTCTTTTCTCCTTAACAATTAAAATCTTAAGGAGAAAGTTGTCAGCGCAATCCTTAGCGGGATTGAAATATAAAACACGATACTTCATCCTCTAGCATAAAGATATAGACATATTAGAAAGAAATTTGATTAGAATTTTAATAATTGTCACAAAACTCAAGAAAAAAATCGATTAATATAAAAGAAACTACTGATGTATCTATCGTTCCTAAACAGTAGAAGTTCCATAGTTTTATTTTGTTCTGCCACTCACTGTTCATGGCTTGTGATGCTACGTTGATCACCGACATGAGAGCCTATTGATCTTATTTGTGACGAGGTTAAAAGAACATACGTCGGTCATGTCTGTTACGGAGAGGAGGGGGGGGGGTCCAAATTTCTGTCTCTTAACACTTCAATATTCTTTTTAGATCGTATTTCACAAAATGCATCCTATTCGCAGACACTATATTTAATATAAATATGTGAACTTTTAGTTCTAAACAAAATTTATTGGATAAAATATCTAAAATATTTCATTTTTATTGAAGGTCAACAATACAGTAGCACCTTCACGCAAAGAACTCGAAGATATCATTAACGAAGTTTCTCCTTATTATTATGATAAAGATCCATCGATTAATTATATCTATATAGGACCTAACTCTGGTTCTTCAAACAATGGAGTTTTGAATAATGCAACCATAGGTGCAAATAGTATTACAATACAAAACAATAAAAATCCAACAGGAAGTAAAAAGAAATCAAATAAAAATCCAGTAGTAATTGCAATTAGTGATAAATCAAACAATAAAACTCAATCAAATAATGAGAAGAAAAACTCCAAGACAATTCTAATTCTTCTTATAATTTTTATTTGTTTAATTCTTATTGTTATTTCAATTATTTTTTATTATAAAGAATTTTTAAAAAATAATAATGAATTAACAAAAAATGATAGTAATACATCAAATGAAAGTCAAATATCCGTATTATCAAATCCAACTGAATTAAACAATGATGATCTCATTATTCCTTCATTAGAACAAATCAAAAATGATAAACAACAAACTATGCAACGAACAGCTACGAATTGGTTCGAATTAGAAGAAGAAATTTAAATTAATATTAAATTTATTTAACAAATTTTTGTATTTTTATAAAAATAATATGTTTATTTGAAATATGAATCATTTTACTATAACAAGTGATTATCGAAAAAAAAAAGAAACGAAAAAAAAAAGAATTGGAGAGAAAGAAAAAAAAACGTTTTAGAGTACAAGAAATAAAATAAAGTGTTCGTCATATGTTATAATTGAGAATTTCTTCTTCAGTTAATTTCATCTATTGAATCAATGGAAAGGATTAAATCTCTTTTTCAAATAAAAAAATCCAATCGAAATGTTCAACATATCAGGTAATTTACGATTCATTTTTCTCATTCATAATTATGTATTCAAATCATATGACAATGAATGAATAGATCTTACATAAAAAATCACATAGAGGTCACCATGCTTTTTTTTATTCAATAGAATTCGTCAGTATAAAACATTTAGTTTTTGACTAATAATCAATATTGATATGAATATCGAATCAAATATGTGATTGAAACAAAACAAAATTCTTTTTTTCTCTTATCAAAATGTCAGGTTTTTTTTTTCTTAAGTCAATATTTAGAATTTGTTATAAGAACATTTTTAAATATTGATTAGAATCTAAGAGAAATGTTCAAATTGGAAGTAAAAGTATTGCAAATTGTGAATAAAAACATGAAATATTTAATATGATTGAATTTTGTCGTGTTATTAAATGTGTATGCTTTCGTAGTTTTGTTTTATTATTTCTTCTTTTCATATCGATCATTATTACATTTACATGGACGCATATATGCCTTTAAGCGAGGAATTATTGATGTAGGCGGTATCGATGTGAAACTATATGTACATAATGTACAGGTAAAATGGTCGTTGTTCACCTCATTTATTCGTAATAATATACGCTTGAGGCAAGCAGAGACAAACGTAATAGAAATAGAAAGAACAAAAATATAGGTTTAATATTTTCATATTAAAAAAGAATTTGTTAATATTTTTTAGAGAAGAATATTCATTTATTTCTCAACATCATCATCATCCATCTATAACAGATCAATTCCATCTATACGAAGAAAATCCAATAAATAGATCTTATCCAAATGAAAATGTTAAATGTCAAACTAATTCTCAATTATATTCAAATTGTGAATCAAATCAAATAATTATGAATCATATTGAGAAAATCAAAACAAAATTTCATCGTCCAACAAATTCATCAACTATAGAAAAGTTTAGAATTTGAAATTTTATATAAATCTCGAACACATTTTTTTCTTTTAGTGATTCATTGGTGTCATGTGAAGAAAATAAAAAAAGTATTGAACAAGAAAATGTTTATCGCCATAGTGTATTAATAACACAAAAACTTCAATGTGATGAATATCTTGTTTTACAACATGTTGAAAAATTATTAAATAATTTATCTTTATCACATAATAGATTTAAAGATGAAACATTTCCAGCAACATCTCAATCACTTTATATTAATGGACATTCACTTTCAAAATCAACTTTAGCACTTTTACCTGATCAACAAACAAATTTATCTTCAAATCATCAAATTCAATGGTTAAGACCTGATCAAATAAATCCATCAGAATGGAATCAAAATTCAATTAATCAATGGACTGTTTTTAGAAATCCAAAACCAAATGATGTTGTTCAAGGAGCTTTAGGTTTGTTTAAAAAAAAACTATTTCAATTGAAATATTTTCATAGACACTTTTCAGGTGATTGTTGGTTTATTACTGCTTTAAGTGTTCTCGCTGAAGAAGCTGAATATTTAATGAGAGTAAATTATCATTCATCCATTTATTTTTTTTGTCTTATTAAATTAATATTATTATATTAGGTACTTATTACGAAAGAATATAATTCTCAAGGTCTTTATTATGTTCGTTTATGTAAAGGTAAAATAGAATTATTTAATCATAATAAGAATATTTTTTAATATAAAATTAAGATGGTGAATGGACACAAGTTAGTGTTGATGATCGTCTTCCATGTACACCAAGTAAAAGATTAGCTTATTCTCAAACACATCGAAAACAACTTTGGGTTCCATTAATTGAAAAAGCTTTAGCAAAATTAAATGGAAGTTATGAAGCAATTATTGCTGGTCGTTGTTGTGAAGGTTAATTTTAATTTGTTAATTTTAATTTATTTAAAAAATAATATTAAATTTAGGTTTAGCAACAGTGACAGGTTGTCCATGTGAAACATTAATTCTTGGTCGAACAAATAATCCAGATGATAAAAATGTTGATTATGATAAATTATGGATGAAATTATTTCATGCACGTTCACAAAAATTTCTTATGTGTGCCATGTGTAGTAATAAACAAATAACAAAACAAGAATTTGAAAATGTTGGTTTACTTAATATTCATGCTTATTCATTACAAGATGTTAAACAATCCAATGATGGAATACATAAATTAATTAAATTAAGAAATCCATGGGGTGGAACTTATAGATGGAATGGTTTGTTTGTTTGTTTGTTTTTTATATTAAATTTTAACTTCTATATTATTTTATTTTTAGGTGATTGGTCTGATGATTCATCTTTATGGAATCAAAATTTAGATTTACGAAAAGAATTATTAAAAGAAAAACGAAGTAAACGTGATGGAGTATTTTGGATGCCATTTCAATCATTTGTCAAATATTTTGAATGTGTTGATATATGTAAAATACGATCAGATTGGTATGAAGTTCGTGATTCAGCTAATTTTTATCCAGAAGATGGAATGATGCAAGGTTATTATTTAACAATTAAAACTATTACTGAACTTGATATAACATTACATAGAAAAATAAGTAAAAATCTTCGTATTCAACGAAGTGAAGTTAGTCTTTGTGTGGCAATTGTTAATATTGAAGAACAAACAAATAAATATTATAGAATTTATTCAATTCCTATTTTAAGTCAACGTGGTCAACATAAATTTGTTTCAACAGATGGTTATCTTCAACCAGGAACTTATATGATTTTACCATTATTATATAATCCAATTAATAAACAAATGGATAATACCGAATTTAATATTGGTAAGTATTTTGAATCAATGCATCGAATAAAATAAAATAAATTTAATTTTTTAGCTGTACATAGTTCTCGTTCAATTGATCTTGAACGTATTAAAATTCCATTGAGAGTTCAACGAGAATTTTTAATAAAACTTTGTATATTTTATGGTGAACAAGTTTCAATTGGAAATCAAACAAAAACTGAATGTGATGATGGTGTAAAAATTTATGAATTAAAAAAATATTGGGATGGACTTATTTTACTTGTGGAAAATCGAAATTTAAATAAAAATGTTCATTTTCATTTTCGTTGTACTTTATCACAAAATGCATTTATGTCAAGAAAAGATTCAAATCATCAATTATTTGATGTTATTCCATCGATGCATAGACAAATTATTGTTACAATTGCAAGAAAAAATGCGTCACATTCATTTACTATTGGACATGATTTTCAATATAATCTTTCTTCACAAGATTTTATTAAAAAATTCTCAAATTAATAAACAAAAACATTGGCCGAAAATTGATGATTCAATATTTAGTGAAGATATTCATTTACCACAAAATATTTCTAATGCTAAACAACTATAACATTTTTATCTATCCTCTTTATCAGATCAATTTTATTCGAAGTTAAAAAACTTTTTTTTTCATTATAAAAGAAAAAAGAATTATTTATATATATATTCTACACAATTTGAATTCTTTATATAAGTATAGTTATTATTTATGAAATAAGAATCCTCTCATATTATATACATATAGATAAATTTATCACCAATACGACTAGATTAAAAGTATATATATATCGATTGTTAGACAATTCAGATGTCCATTTCTTGGAATTATGAAACGATTGATCTACTAAAGAGAGACTTCCTAGAATTTAAATATCCAAGCTTTGATTTTTGATATTCTTTAATTTATTTAATTAGATAAAATAAAAAAGTAGGATAAACAAATTATTTTTCATTCATTATATATGATTATTTATCTTGAAGATTCGATGTTTTTACTATGTTATTAATAAAGGAAGTTCAATAGACTGAATCAATTCCTATTTCTGAACCCTATACTTATGATCTAGAGAATATATAATTCTATATTTTGATGAAAATGACGTCCTTCAAGAATACAACATGTGCGCAAATAGACTTGCTTGTATACCTACCAAAAACTCTTATTAGTATTTTAGTTTGTTTTGCCACTATACTCTATTTTATTTGAGTTTTACATCATTATTCCTAGTACGACCGAGCTTTTTTTGCGTTTTTAAGTCATTCTATACTCATCCCATACTCAACTTACAACCTAATTTTGAAAAGTATGAG